TTAAATTTTTATTGAGAGGTTTCACTTCAATTCCATTAATTTGATGACCCAAATACACTATTTCGGTGACACCAAGAATACTTTTCTCTTTACTTGCTTTTAAACCTGTATCTTTAATCTCTTGAAAACCTCTTCAAGACGTTGATTATGTTGTTCTGACGTCACTCCAGTTATCAACACATCATCCACATAATAAAATACACCTTCCAAACCCTGGAAAACTGATGCCATTGTTCTCTGAAAAATCAGTGCAGATACACTTAATCCAAAAGGTAATCTACAAAATGCAAATAATCTTTTAGGCGTCGTTATTGTCATCAATTTGCGAATTTCTTTCAAAGACAATTGTAAATATGCTGATGAAAAGTCAACTTTTGAAAAATATTTGGCCCCTTTTAAATTCGCCAAAATTTCTTCAATTCGCGGCAATGGATATTTCACTTCTACAACCCATTTGTGAAGTGTTACCCTAAAATCGGCACATAATCTAAGTTTTCCGTTAGATTTTTTAACAGGTACTAATGGTGTAGCCCATTCACTATATTCCACAGGAATAATAATACCATCATTAACCCATTTATCTAATTCTTCGTTAATTTCCTTTTTCCACTCAAAAGGAACTCTACGACACGCTAAGAAAATAGGTGTAAATCCCTCTTTTAATTTTAAATCCACTTGATAATCATTTAGACATCCCAATGTGTCTTCAAAAATTATACCATATTTTTCAACTAAAATAGGTATAGCATTTTTAACTCTATTAAATTCATTAATTTCATTATTAATTTTTTTATCATTATCAATTTCACTATTGATCTCAGATGGATTTGAATACATCATGGGTTTCGCATGATATTTACAAATATTATTATTAACTATAGATTCTTTCATTTCACTCATTAATTTATTCATTTCTCTTTCTTTAAGTTTTTCTCTAACTTCATTAGCCATTATTTTTCTTTCGGCATTTTCTTTAGCCAATCGCTATCAATGATAAATAAATCCCAATAATTATTTCGAGGTCCCAATTTGGTAATCCAATCCCAACCCATAAATGTTTCAACATTTTTATTCACTATCCATAAATCTAAAATTATAGGAATATCATGGAAAATAACATCCCACTGAGTTCTACCCAAAACTTTGATTTCAGATCCATCAAATTGTTTTATACACATATTTTGTCTCTCAACAATACCATTCGGCCAATATTTATAAAAATTTTCACTAGACATTATTGAAATACTTGCCCCGGTATCAAATAACATTTCAACCATTTGTCCACCAAATTTTAAATTAATATGAGGACATGAACTCTGTTCCTTTGCTCCCTCAGTTATTAAATTTTTAGGCATTTTAATGGACTGAATGACATTTATTTTAATCTCATTGTCAATATAATTGATATTCATACCTAAATTCATCTCAGAATTTAAAGGTCTCTGAATTTCATTTATGGTTTTATTTAAAATTTCCCCTGGATATATATCACTCATTTGATTACAATAATCCTTTTTATTCAGATTACTGTCTAATTTAAAATTTTTTATTTCATCAAAATGACAATAAAAATTCCCAACATTACAACTCTTTTTATTCGAGTTCAATGTATAATCCTCATTCCCATGATGATTATCTATTTTAATATATATATATCTACAAAATTTTTAATAAAATTATATATATCACAAAATTTAATATTTTCAAAAATTAATTTATCTATTTTTATATGATTCTCTTTCAAATCATATAGTCACTGTGACCCACTCACACTTTGGATACAATGGATAGCAATGTGTCCCATTTCTTCACATTAGAAACACATTCTATCATAATCTGTATTAGATATCTCCATTTTATCTACATTTTTTATAATAGGACTCTGTATATTTCTAACCACCGGTTGTAACACTACCGAGGTTCTTTGTGGAAATCCACTTTTAAAATTGGCCTCTTTCACCATGCAATTTCGTTTTATATGTCCTACAAAACCACATCTATGACACACTATGTCATTATTTTCACTTGATTTTATAATCACATTCTAATTAGTTTTTCGGTCTCTTGAATAACAATTTTTACCGATATGTACTTTTCTTCCACAAAGTTCAAACTTTCAATCACATTATTACTTTTGATTTTTAAGTTGGAAACTTCTCTGGACAAATTTTTCATATTTTCTCTCATTTCTCTAATTTCACTTAAAATTAAAGATTCCTCGGTACTTTGTCTCAAAGTATTATCTGTTTTATTATTTTTCAAAATTTCTTCTGGTTTTTTACTTAAAACCTCAGAAATTTTCTCTTTAAATTCAATCACAATTGAATTTAATTTTTTATTGATATCCTCCGATATGTCAATATTTTGTTGAAAATTAAATACGTCACCCGTATCTAAAATTTTCGCATTTTTTTCTTCAACATTTTTTTTAACATTTAAATTTTTTAATTCTAACAAAATTTAAACTATTTTTGATATCTTCATTAAGATCTGAAGATTTCACTAAAACTTTAGGAATTAAATTTTTAATATTGTATTTTTTATATCATTTTCTCTATTTTTAAGAGATCTTCTTTTTATTTTCCTTATTACTTGTTTCATTATAATTAAGATTACATAAAACACAAAAAAAATTATTGCAGTAATTACATTATTGGTAATATCCACTTTATTAAAGTTTGAATTAAATATTTTATTAAAATTACTCTTAAAATTTGACATTTTATTAATATTATGCTTATTATAATTATCATTAAAATAAAAAGCCATTTTTTCATTAATTACCCAAAATTTAAAATTTTATCTTATATATTTCTAATTTTAATCTAAAAAATCCTACTATTGCGTTGTGTAATTTATAATATAAAAAAAAAATTTCTTACCTTTATATATTTCCGGAATCCACTATTATTTTGAGGAACCCGGTCCAAGAAATTTTTTCTTTTATAATATTTAAAATTCTCTTCACAAAATATTCACTATTTTTTAAATTTTCTTATTTTTTCCCTAATAAGTGTTCACTAATCTTGGTCAGTCGGTACCAATAAAATATTTATAACTTTTTTACTCTCAATTATATTAAATTTCATATTCAATATATTTTATTCTTAAAAAAATAATTTTCCATTTTTCATATCATAATTTTTTAATAATATTTAATACAAAATTCGTTTCTTTGTTCTATTTTAACAATTTTTTATCCTTCCGCGATGATTTTTATCAAAATAAATATATAATTAAAAAATATATTTTTTAATCAATAACATTTTGATTAACATTAAATTCATAAAACAAAATATACTACATATATATTAAAATTTATAAACATAACATAATTCATATTGAATCTTTAGTTTTTAAGAACAAATAAAAATAGTGAAAAAGTTATTTAGTTTTTAAATGAAGACTCAACTTCAGTGGCGTAGCTACGGGGGGGGGGGGGGGGGGGGTCGGGTTTGAACCCCCCCCCCCCCCCCCAGAGCAATTAATTTTTTTTAGAATATTCGTTTAAAAGACTCAAAAGTGACTTTATATCAAATAAATACCATGAATATTTATATTTTTCTGGTTTTGATGTTTGTGGAAGGATATTATTACTTTTAATTTTAAATATATATATAAATTATTCTGTATATTATTTTAAAGTCATTGATAATAATCTATTAATTTTAATAATATATTATTGATGCATTTTTAAAAAAATATTTATTATAAATTATCCAAGATATGGTTCGATAATAATAATATGAAATAAAAAAGTGCATAATCTACCCCCCCCCCCTCAGAGCAATTTTTTTTAGATTATTCGTTCAAAAGACTCAAAAGTGACTTTATATCAAATAAATACCATGAATATTTATATTTTTCTGGTTTTGATGTTTGTGGAAGGATATTATTACTTATATATATATAAATTATTCTGTATATTATTTTAAAGTCATTGATAATAATCTAATAAAATATAATAATATATTATTTATGCATATTTAAAAAAATATTTATTATAATTTATCGAAGATATGGTTCGAAAATAATAATATGAAATAAAATAGTGCATAATCTAATGCTTTTATTTCTAATAATATATATTTGGTTTATATTTTGTAGCATTTTTATAAATGAAATTATTAAAGAGATTAAATTTATGACTAAAAAGTAAAGATTGTTATTTCCTATTTACGAACTTTAAGATTGAAGAAAATGGACATTAGAAAATATTTACTAAGTAACAAAAAAAATTTACCAGCTAATATCTCATGCAATTTATGCCCTGTTGAAAATGATAAGCATGATATAAATACACGAGGTTAAAAAATATTTAATCCAGTGTACTAATTAATATCTTATGCATTATAGGCTCTATTGAAAATAATAAGGATGATGTAAATACACCAGGTCAAAATAACATTTAATATAAAAGATATTTAAAATTAATAGCTAACTATTTTTATTTTAGAATTTAAAATTAAACACCTAGTCATAGTTTTAACTAAATTAAAATTGCCAGTACAAACCACTTTTGGTAATTTATTATTTTAAATAATTTTGGTTAACCAAAATATTTTGACATTTATAAAATATACCCAAACGTAAGAGGGAAGAAAATGATCTTGATACACTCATTTATATACCCAAAGACCATATAAAATCACTACCTAGTACAAGTAATATAATCTATTAAGATTTAAATATTTTTTATTATAGATTTAGATATATCAAGTATTACATTTAATAAAAATGATGATAGTCAACAAAATAAACACACCAAATCACTAATTAATATAGAAAATCAAAATTTTAATGATGAACTTGATACCATAAGCAACAATTTACCACCCACAACAGGTATTTTATAATGACCTTATTTAAATGAATCACCAATTAATATAGAAAATCAGAGTTTTAATGATGAACTTGATACCATAAGCAACAATTTACCACTCACCTCAGGTATTTTATGAACTTATATGACCTTATTTAAATGTATTCATTTAAATTTTAGAAATACCTAGATACTCTATAAAAAATTATGATAAAAATAAGCTAAATACACTTGATCACTTCAAATCTCTACCTAGTAAAAGTAATGTTAACTATTACCTTTAAATATTTATATCATAATTTTAGGTATATCAAGTATCACATTGAAGAAGAATGATAGTAGTCAACAAAATATTATAGGCTGTATCAATTTAGAATTTAAAGGTTATCTAATATGTTGTTTTATTTTAATTTATTTTTATAGGAATATCTCAATTAATATTCACACCAAGGGGTAAAAAAAATAGTGATAACAAACAAAAAAATACACTAAGTCACAACAAATCACTATCTAATAAATGTAATGTAATCAATTACTTATTAATGTTTACATTAAAATTTTAGATATATCTAAAAAATCTAGGGAGAATTTAAATGGAAATGAAGTTCCACTCATTTCAGGTATTAGTCTTATTTAAATTATATTTATTTAAAATCTTAGCAATTCCCACATACTCCAGAAAACTAAAGGATTATAGACAACCAATTATACTAGATCATTTAGAACCATCACCTACTACAAGTGATATAGTCTATAACTTTATAATTTACATTATAATTTTAGATATATCTGAAGTACTTGTAGAGGACATTATTGGAAATGAACTTGATACTTTAGGCTTCAATTTACCTTCCACATTAGGTATTATATAATTATGTTTTAATATTTAGTCTTATAATTATAGAGATATGCAGTTATGCCAATTCAGATTTCCCATATGATGTATCGAATTTTGTTACCCATCATATTAAAGAAAAATTATACATATATTCTAAAATATGGCATCCTCCCTCATCATATATTTTCCCTCAAATTAATTTTAAAATGAAAAAGTTGTCATTTCAACTTAATTGGCTCAATCAGTATATATGGCTTAGTTATTCTCATTTCTGCATATTGTAAAGTATGTGTAATCTTTGGTCCTATATATGGTGGAATCAATTATCAAAAGTTGGGAGAGCTTGTTTCGCATGGATTTGCCAAATACAAACAAAGAGAGATTCTTATCTCACCAAAAATGTGCCTATCATCATAGTGCAGTAAACATGTTAACAAATTTAACTCAAATTTCTAAAGGTGTTATTCCAGCTATTGACACCCAACTATCAAATTTAAATGCAAAAGGGGCCACGAATAATCGTAAATATCTACAAATTATTATTCAAGCAATCATTTACCTGGGAAGGCAGGGAATGCCGTTAAGAGGTCACAGAGAAAAAAGTGGTAAATTGAATTATAATGAAACTTCAGTTAATGAGGGCAACTTCAAAGAGTTGCTGAAGTCATATTGTCATCTAGGTGGTGAGGAAACCAAGGTTATATTTGACAATGTGCCAAATAATGCCCTATATATATCTACGGATATTCAAAATTCAATTATTAACATATGCAATAATTTTATTGTCGAAAAATTAGTTACCATAGTTAAAAAATCTGCATTTTTCTCTGTACTTGCAGATGAAACAACTGACATATCAAATCAACAACAAATGTCGTTTTATCCGTATATTAAACCTGGATACCTTAAAAATCAGTGAATATTTTTTGCAATTTATTCCACTTGATAATGGTACAGGGAAAAATATAGGAATACATTTTAAAAAACTATAATATCGATATTACTAAAATTCGGGGACAAGGATACGATGGTGCTTCAGCAATGTCTGGGAAAATTAATGGAGTTCAGGCTTATATAAAAAAAAAGTGTCCAAAAGCTCTCTATGTACATTGTGGAGAACATTCTTTAAATTTAGTTATCTCCAAAGCTTGTGGAATTCGTGAGATTGATAATAGTTTAAGTAAATAATTATTCACATAATTTATATAATCTTTATTAATCATAGAAATCGTATCCAAGGTGATTAAATTTTTAAGTTTTGGGAAGCGATCAAAGCTGTTATCTGATGTTTTAAAAGATATAGATGGCTCCAATGTTCAAAAATTAAAGAAATATTCGCCTACAAGATTTCTTCAAAGGCAAGATTCTATTACTGGTTTTATTAAAGCACTGGAAGGTATTGTTGAAACTTTAAAAATAATAAGTAGATGAAATGATAATGATACATCTAATATTGCCCAAGAATTGTGTTCATCAATTTATAAAACCCCTTTTTTATATCAATTTTTTGTATGAATTATATTTTTTTAAAAACTGTAAATTTAAGTCGATATCTTCAAAGGGAAAATATCAACATTGTGTCAGCAATGAATGAAGCCAAGAGGCTTCTTAAAATATTTGAAGATGCTGAGGTAAATGCCAACAATATTTTTTTACAAATATATAAAAGATGTTTAAGTTTGGGTGAGAAACTTAAAATTAATATTGAGAAACCTAGGCTAATCATAGATGACATGTTAGCTTTGGAATCAACTTTTGATTATTATAAAAAAGTTATTTTTTTACCATTATTAAAAACAATTATTACTCACTTTAAATTAAAATTTGCTGGGCATAGCAAAATATTAAAATATTTTAATTTTCTTTTGCCATCATCCTCAGAACAATTAATTATTAACAATAATATAATGCTTAGCATTAAAAAAATTAGTATTTTTTATGAATCCGACATTATCGGTGGATACGAACAGCTAAAATCAGATACTGAAGCTTGGTATTCTGATCTAAGCACCATCATCCCTACAGATCGTCCCAGTAACCCTGTTGAGGCATTACAATTATTTAAGGAAACTTTAAACTTAAGAACAAATATCAAAACACTTTTAATAATATTAGCAACACTTCCCATAACTACTTGCACCAATGAGCGGTCATTTTCGACACTGACTCGACTTAAAAGTTATTTAAGGGCAACCTCTGGCCAGGCGAGGACCAATGGATTGGCTCTTCTAAATATATATAGAGATATTAATCCTAGTCCAAATGAGGTCATAGAGGAAATGGCGAAAGGGCCACTAAGAATTAAGTTAAATATATAAAATATAAAGTTTTTTAACAAAGTATTTATAGTTTTTTTTAATCAAAAGCAATAAAAATATTTTTTTAAATAAGCAATTGACATAAAATTATATTTTGTTTTTATAAATTGTTTTACAATAGTTTATATAATATATAAATTTTATTTTAATCTATAATATAATGTGTTATATAATTTGTGTTGCTAAAATTATTAAAAGTGTTTTGATATTTGTTCTTAAGTTTAAAGTTTCCTTAAATAATTAATTGTAATGTCTCAATAGGGTTGCTGGGACGATCTGTAAAGATGATGGTGCTTATATCAGAATGCCAAGCTTCAGTATTTATTTTAGCATGTCTAATTCATAAAAAATACTAATTTTTTTAATGCTAAACATTATATTATTGTTAATAATTAATTGTTCTTAGAATGATAGCAAAAGAAATTAAAATATTTTGCTATGCCCAGCAAATTTTAATTTAAAGTGAGTAATAATCGTAAAAAAAAATAACTTATAATAATCAAAAGTTGGTTCCAAAGCTAACATGTCATCTATGATTATTAACCTAGGTTACTTAATATTAATTTTAAACATCTATCATATATTGGTAAAAAAATATTGCCAACACAATTTTGATTTTTTCACTTTGATGGATATCGACTTAAATTTACAGTTTAAAAAAACATTTATTTTTTAATCTATATTTTTAATGTGTTTACTAATTATAAAATATATCATTTATAATTAAGGCAATATAATATTTATAATTAAAGCAATTTATATGTGTAATGTAATACTAATATTTATAATTAAGGCAATATAATATTTATAATTAAAGCAATATAATATTTATAATTAAAGCAATATAATATTTATAATTAAAGCAATATAATATTTATAATTAAAGCAATATAATATTTATATTTTAAATAATCGCTTTTTATTTGTAAATAACTTCAAAAGGTATAATAAAATGAAACGTAGATCAATAAAATTATGTCAATGTGTTATTTTAATTAAAATTAGTGGTTAATGGCTCAATTTTAGCCGATATGGCTAACTCAATATATTAGCCAGAAAATTTTGCTCATGGAGATACAAGTTTTATATTATTCGAGAAATCTCTAGGCTTGAACAATATTTTTTGGCTAAAATATTGAGTTAGCAGTTTATAAAAATCAGCTCAAGTCTAGCCGTTTAACAACACTAATTAAAATAATTAATAATTCTAGGACTTTTATATTATAAGGTACCAATATGATTTTTAAGATAAACCCGGCCGAAGGCCGGGCAAAAGAGCCGAAGGCCCGTTTGTGGACCCCCTCTAAGGAAAATTCCTAGCTACGCCACTGCTCAACTTTAAAAAAATCGCTCTGTTGTACATTTAATTGCATCATTAATTTAATATAATTAAAATATAAATATTTTAATAAATTCAGTTTTAAAAAGAAATAATTTGAATATTATTTTTTAACAAAATTTTTTTTGGAGAACAATTTTGCCTTAAAGTATCTAATGACTCTTTTCGCGGCTTTAAGACTTGCAGTTCTAGTCATTCGATATATTTAAGACACCTTTTTAAACTAAAATTCTGCAAAGCATTAGAGCAGTCGATAAAATCTTCCTGTAAATCTATTCCAGTTGAATCCTAAATAAGTTTTAACAAATTTTTTTTTTGGTTGGATATAGATTAAAACGTAACTATAATTATGATCGTTATATATTAGGTTTATCATATGGTTATTTATCATTCATTCATTATTTTTGAATATGGACAATTTTGATAGTTATAAGAACATACTTATCGATGTGATTGGTAATCAACCCTATCATAATTTAGATGATATTATGCGTCAAAAATTAATTAATTATGTTAAAAACACTACAATCTTTAATGAAGAAATAAGCCAAGAAATAGAAAAATTTAAAACTGAAACAGGTTTTTATTAATTTTTATATATTATTTTAAAATAATCTATAGAACAAACTCATTTTGAACTTGAGAAAAATATCGATCTGATTAATGATAAATTGAAAGATGCTAATGAAAAAATTCATAAAAAAGATCAAGAAATTTTGGAGCTTGGTATAATTTAGAATGCATATTTATCACTAGGTAAAATTTTAGAACAAATAAAACATAAATATCAAACGGTTATTGACATCAAAACCTCAGAAATTATTAAGCAAAATTTTGAAAAAGTACCTAATAACATATGAAAAAAATTTCCATTATATATAGGAAGAAATAAAGAATAATATATGTCTTTTGGAATTGGATAACAAAAATATTCAAAATCTTCTAAGTGAAAAGGAAAAAATTATTGTAAATATTGAAAGTACAAAATTACTTTTCCTATATATATGACTTTGAATTATTTAGGTGATATAAAAGTTATGTCAGAAAAAATTATAATACTATCTGCAAGTAGAAATGAATTGCAATCAAATTATAACAATGAAATAAATAAAAGCCTAACATTAAATGTAAATAAAAAAATATGTTTGAAAGGGGAGGGAGTAATAAATAATTTGATTTAGATAAAAGTATAATTGTGTGTTTAAAGAAATTATTATATAAATATAATATTAAGACATTTATGGTCTGAAAGCCTAATAAAAAATATGATTGAAAGGAAGGGGGGAGGGTCATAAATAATTTGTTGATTATAGTGTGTTTCAGGTAATTAAATATAATGTTAAGACATTTGTGGTCATATATTTTATGAATCTTTTAACAAAAACTGAAATTAAAATATTTATATTTTAGCATAAATTTGAGAATTGCAAATTTAGGCATGAAAATTTAGAGCAACATATTAAAATTTTAGAAGATGAAATCAAACTAAAAGATAAAGAACATTTAAATGGCATTAGAGACAAGGTAATTTTTAGATATATTTTTAATAAAATTAATTTGATTTAAAAATTAAATTTATTAGGGAAATAAATATATTTTATATTCTCCAATAATCAATCTAATATTAATTCATGCTTCTATTGAAACTACTTATTTCAAATCATAAGGTCAAACATTTGGCATGAGATATATGTATCCTTGTTTTAAACAGGTCTGAATCCAGCATATAATGACATGGAACTTGTCCCATATCTGTTATAGGGTTTTTGTGATCATTTATAACAAAATATAACCAACTTATTTATAAAATTACTGTGAGGAAACAGTTGCAAAAATTCTGTTCATCCCTTACCCTATCATTGTAGTTCATATGAAATGGATATATATTTAAGTGAACCCTGCATCATAAATTTTGTTTAAAAAAAATCTCATGATCTTTTCCCAGCAGACTGTCAAGTGACATTTCTCAAAAAATGGCAATTTTATTAGCAAAAATGGGTTTAACTTAAGCATGCTCAATTATAATTTTATTTTTCTATTTTTGATAAAATATCTTATTAATTTTTTTAAAACTTACTTTTGCATTTTCTAGATCACCTTGAAATGTTTGACATAATCCCATTTTTGTTTCTTTGATTTGATAGAGCATTCTAGGAATGTAAATATTTTTGATATGGGTAGAGTTCTCCACAGTCATTTTTTTGCAGCTCAAGCACAAATTGTTTGTTTCAACTCAACCTAAGACCGACATAAAATATTTTGGAAATTTCACTATTTACTAAATGTAAGTAGGAAGTTCTTCCATACTTGAGTTTTAATCTTTTCAGAAATCATTTTTAAATGGATTCATTCATTTTATAAATTTGAGGCTATTTAATTGAATATTAGATGAATCAAAAATTATCAAATTTTCAGTAGCTTGTAAGATGATTTTTAAAAAAACTAACAATTGCATAGGTACCAAAAATAAAATATGTATGTGGGAAATCATATAAATTTAGTAATGGCTATATGATAACAAGCCTTTTGGAGATGGGGGTTATCCTTATTTTCTACATATATTTTTTTTGCCATTTTGCCAGTGGTGTCGCTAGGGTGGGAACTCACAGAGGCTTGAGCCCCCTGAAGCAAAAAATTTTTTTTAATGGCTCCTTAATATCCCCTTGAACTAAAAATAAATTTTTCTGATTGCCCACTGAAAATGATTTCTTTTATAATTCCATTAAGTAATATTTAAATATAATTTTATTATTTAGAAATTAATAAGACTATTTAAATTTTTATTAAATGAATATTATTTTAATTATTAGATTAGATTAATACATATAAATTATATTTTTACTATGTCAGCTTGCAATCAAATTCTGTATTAAAAATATAATATCAATAATTCACTAAATATTAATTTAGCTTTAACAGTTGAAGTTTAATTGACTTTTATTATTTAAATTATTATTTAACCCTAATTAAATAAATATAATCATATATTATTTGAAAATTAACAAATTTAATATTGTAATTAGCCGAGTTCAAATTTACTAATCAACTATATATTTATTTTGAAATTTTATTATCATACCTTAAAAATATTTTCAAGGTCCAAATAAGTATAAGAGATTTCTTTATAAAAAGTAAGTAAGCATATAGTTTATAATCCTCTACTATATACAGTAGTTTATAAAATATTAGATATAATGCCACTTTTATAGACGCATTTGACAGTTATATAATATATAACAGTTAATATTATAACAAATTGCATTCAAGTATTCAACGCCATCTATTTAGTTATAAATAATTTAAAAAATAAAACATTTTATTCTTCATCCTGCAATAGATGTAATAAATTTGATATCCTTTCATCTCTTTTTTACGTGTTTTTAGGAAAGCTATTTTTTTCTTTTTCGAAAAACAGTCTTGAGTTAAATATTTAATACAAGTATATTTTTGATATTATTACAAACTACTATTATTTTAAGATATAATATACCAATGTGGTGCGACAATATATAAAATCTTAATTGTTTCATCATATCATTCTGGTCCTTATTATATAGTTAAAAAATGTTTCATTTCTAATATGGCATTGCCATATAAATAACTCCAGGCTTCAATATATTTGCATAATTATTTCTTCCAAAGATTTTTAATGTTTTTATTTTATCAATATCTAACATAATAAATTCTAATATTAGTTTACATCATGAGTGTCATGGCTATTACTGCAAATTAACCAGCATCTATTATTTGTGTTGCTATGTATTTAAGATTAGGCTGAGAGTATATAATTGCATATTTTAGGTAAACAATAATAGTCAACTGTGTAGTCGTTTATATATCATTAAAAATGGAAGATAATCTTTTAGAAATTTAATATCTCACAATAATTTTATCGATTACTTATCTAGCTTCCATCATGTCATCTAAGAGGAAGCTCTAACCACCATATAGTTTTATGATTTGGATTGGTCGTTTATACTCTCTCCTTCAAAAATTGTTGATTTGGTTTAGGCCTATAAATTTTTCCTTATTAGTCCATTCTATAAAACATTGTCTAATATGGTTACAGAAAATTATACTAGTTTGATAACTTTTTGTCAATGTAAGTTGCTAAGAATTATATTACTGCATTATGTGATTTTTTATATGCCAGTTTATTTTGTATGCATAATATAATAAATGATAAAATTTTAAAATCAGAAAGATTGTTCAGAGTTAACAAATTTAAAAAAAGTGAGCCCCCTGAGATTGTGAAGGCTAGCGACGCCCCTGCATTTTGCTTAAGAGTAATTCTATAGTTATTTTATTATTTTCAAGTCAGATTTGTCTGATCTTTTTTTTAAAAAAAAAAAGCTTTTTCCCAATATTGAACAAATATGTAAGAATGTGCATTTTAGTTAATACTATTTGAGTTCCCTTCTTGACCTCAAATATTAAATCAATGCAAATAAATATTTAAAAGATAATATAGTATTTTTCATGTAATTATTTTTTATAAATTATAATACTGTTATTTATATGAAAAATTATTTTGGACAAAAAATTTAGGCTGAGATAAACATTAAATGTCTTATATAATGTTGTTAAACAGCTCGATTTGAGCCGATTTTTAAAACGGCTTACTCAATATTTTATCCAGAAAAATATTATTCAAACCTGAAGATTTTGCCCAAAGATGGCACAAAGGTCTAGCATCTATTAGCTAGATCTGGAGCCTTACGCAATATGTCCTTGGCACATGTTTAAACCTTATGGTTGTTTGAACCTCACTATCGTCACATTTTTATAAAAGCTAAACTTGGGGCTACATGTACATTAACTATACCAAATTACAATAATTCAAAATAACTAACAAATTACAATAATTCAAATAGTATTTTTTTTTACAATATTTTCTAAAATTTCATAATTATAAATGGCATCTACTAAATATAAATAGCATTTTGTTCATATTTTTGGATCCAAAGTCCAATTATACCCTGGCCTATATCTAATATATACTAACCCTGTAGCATACCTAGCTTATATGGATGAAGTATAGGTTAATTGATTTAAATTATTCATATATAAATTGTTGTGCTATATTCTAGTAGCTTTTTAAAAATATTTTTGAATTCTAACTAGATTCTGAATAAAATGTGAATTCTAGATCTAAAAAAATATAAAAATAATTGCACCTTTAAGCATATTTTATAGGTATCCCCTCCTAATGTCAAAATTTATTAAATAATCTTAACAAGACAATGGTCCTAGCTATTCAGAATTAAGAACTAAAATTAAGACGAACTGATAACAACTTTACTCTTTAAGAATATTATAATATTTCATTTTTATATAGATGAATCAATTGACTAACCTCAAGGTGAAAATGGAAGAGATTGATAATTCATTTCAAGGTGTCTCGAATCAGAATCAAATGTTGAAGGACAAATTATCTGAATATGAAACTATGACCAAAGATTTGATAGAAAAGAATTATAAAGTAAAATTATTTAAATCCAAATATCCCTCCCCCCTATTTTTAAATGATTAGAAATTTAGTTCAAACATTATTTTTGAATAAAATTTGCTCCAGAGATTGGCCTGTATCAGAGATTTTTTGCTTCTGGTCAGGTCAAGCTGGGCAGATATCTAAATTATGGACTTTTTTGTGTAGTTAGAGTGTGACCTAGAGTGCAAGGTAAAGGAGATTACAGAGAAATTTGTAATAGCGGAGGATAGATGTCGTATGCTTACGAACGTGAACTCTGATTATGAAACGAGGTACAAACAGTTAAAGGTATCCTTGGAGGATATTAAAGTAGTTTTGACTCAAACTCAAAAGGGTAATCAACTTATAGACGGAGAACTCAAAAATATGGGAAAACTTCACAATGAAACCTTGAAGGAAAAGGGTATTTTTTTAATTAGGATATATTCATATATTAAGTTTAAAGATTTTTATTTTCGCATGATTTGGAAAATTAGGGGTTATCGATACCACTTTTTTGGAGGCCGATTTGATCTGATGCGATCCTATATTAAATGGATTTGGCCGTCCAATATCACACCTGATTGTGTTCTTTATACGTATTTAATTTTTAAATGTAAAATTGTGCAAAATATTTTTTATAGTAATCATTTATTTATATAATAATAATATTATGGGTACATTCATTTATTTATATAATAATTTATGGATATATTCATTTATTCATATAATAATTAAATTTATGTATTAAGAAATTTTTAATTTATTTAAATTAATAATTACAATTAATATATCAAAGATTTCTTTTCAGAAACACTAAAATTTCTATAATATCCGAGGTCAGCCTCCATAGGTAAGAATTGTCAATATCACCAACTTCACTAAAAACTGATTCTGATGATATACATGTCACAGGTGCTGCCAGATATTGACTTGCAAGTTTAGAAAGAGTGGAATATTTATGGCAGTCCACAGTCTAAAGAATCTGCTGGGATATTATCATTTTTTTTTTCTCTTTAGCTTTCACCTTTTCTGGTGGTAAGCTCCTTCAACATCTCTCTTCACTTTATGTTATTCGTACAATCTCTTTTATCTATTTTATACTTCTTTATATTGGCTCTAACTTTATGGCCCCATTGAAGTTTTGGCCTTCCTCTTTTACGTTTGCCCATCACTTCCAATCTTTCAACTTTATTTCCTATGTAGTTCATAGGCCTTCTCATTGTGTGCCCATACCATCTAAGTCTGTTTACCATTAACTTAGTTTTAATGGGCACTACCTTTAAACTATTTAGTATTCTTGTACTGCGCACCTTATCCTTTCTTGTTACCCCAGCAATCATCCTCAGCATTCTCATCTCCATAGTTTGTAGACTTCTCTCGTCTGATTCTTTGGTTGGCCATGTTTCCGAACTATATAGAATAGTTGGTTGTACTATGGAACTGTAAATTTTTCCCTTTAATTTGTGTGGGATTCTTTTGTCAAATAGCACTCCAGATAAAGATCTCCACTTTAACCACCCTTGATTAATCTTATTCTTTATCTCTTTTTCTATTGTGCCGTTTGTTTGTATAGTGGAGCCCAAATATTTGCAGCTTTCAATTGCGGATATCTGCCAATCATTTATATCAATACTCTCCGTTTCATCTCCTCCTATCACCATATACTCCGTCTTTTCTCTATTTACTTTTAATCCGTGCGTTTCTAGGATATTTATCCAATTCACTAACCTTTCTTTGATTTCATCCTTGGATTCGGCAAGTATTACAATATCATCTGCAAATATCATATTCCACGGGACTGTTTGAGGTATAGACTGTGCTAATACATCTATTACTGTAATGAAGAGAAGTGGGCTGAGAGCCGACCCTTGATGAACTCCTTCGGCTATTGTGAAGCCTGCCGAAGTACCTGTTGTGCTACGGACCATTGTTGTATGTCCCATATACATATCCATTTATTATTCTTATATATTTTTCGGGAACTTTTTTGTGGCGTAGCGCCCACCAGATAAGTTTTCTTGGGATTCTATCGAAGGCCTTTTCTAGATCGAGAAAGACCATGTGTAGCTTTTTGTTCTTTTCCCTGTATTTTTCACTCATTTGCCTAATTGCATGGATAGCATCGGTTGTTGATCTTCCAGGCATAAAGCCAAACTGTGTCTCTCCTATTTCGATTATATCTCTTAATCTTTTTTCTATTATTTTTTCGTATAGTTTTAGACAGTGTGACATTAGTTTTATGCCCCTGTAATTTTGACAATTGTGTGGATCCCCTTTATTTTTGAAGATAGGAACTAGATAGCTCTGCCTCCATTTTTGGGGGACCTCTTCATTTCCAAGTATTTTATTGTACAGATTTGTGAGGAGATGTATTCCATCATCTCCTATTGCTTTAAGGCTTTCTATTGGAATATCGTCTGGACCCCTAGCTTTGTTGTTTTTCATATGCTTGAGGCATGTGATTATTTCTTGTTCTGTTATAGGTTGTACAAGGTTTTGACAAGGGGAGTGTTCGTCGAGATGCAATATGTGGGAATTAAAGTTGAGAAGCTCCTGAAAATATTCTTTCCATCTATTCATATTTATTTCTTAAATATTGGTTCCTTGAGATGATTTTTAATTTCAAGTGAATACGGGCAATTTTTGATGGTATCGTTAATTAAATATATTTTTCATTTGTTTTAACGGCATCAGCATAAGATCCCCACAAGCTAATATGCCAGTTGATTGGTCTTGCTTGATAGAATTTCTTTCATGCCCATATTTTGCTTTTCTATACTACATAAATAATAAAAAAAATATATAGACTTCATTTTTAAGTGGATTGAATGAGTTAATTTCCTCGCAATAGTTGCTGTCCATACCTTCTAGATGTTTTGTCTAATCCAGTTAACGCCATTTTATAGGATCGTATTGTGGAAAAATTAAAAATATTTGCCGATAACCTATATTTTAAAAAAGATGAATAATCAGGCCTATTCGATAATAAATATCTGTAGTCTCCAGAGAAAATGATCACTATTTTTTAGGACAATTTATTTTAATTAGTGTTGTAAACGAACGCGATCAAAATGAACGCGTTCGTGAACGAAGTTCGTTTTTTTGAAATGATGAACGGCGTTCTTTTTTTTGACGAACTTTGAACGTGAATGCGTTCCTTTTCTTTGATGAATGCGTTCAATTTTACGTTCGTTCAATTTTAAAAACACTTTTTATTTTTATTTATTTGAAAAATTAATATTAATCCGCATTTTTTAACAAAAAAGTCTTATATTTTTATTTATTTGAAAAATTAATATTTAATCCAATTTTTTAACAAAAAAGTCTTATATTTTTTAATCAGCTGTTTTTACTTTTTCCTCTTTCATATTGCAATTAACGTACCATAACGTGCTACTGCTAGAGAAGATAAGATTAAAGTTTATTAATTTGAATATTTTATATTTTAATTTAATAGATTAGCATTTGCATGGATATAAATATTTCATCATCAGATTCTGAAAATCAAAATTCAATATTAGATAAATTAAAATTACCATGGCCCAAATATCAAAAATATTTCACTGTTTAATTAATTACATATATTTTATTTTTTTAAAGATTTCAACATATATATGAAAATCAATATCTTCTTTCAGCAATTATACATCCGATATTCAAGCTTCAATGGCCTTGGATAAAGCTTCCACAAAATGAACCTTTAAAGAATAAACTTATAGCTCTTTTGAAAAAAGGCATTGAAACCCCAAGAATTGATCATGAAAGAACTGTCAATTCCGGGATATCTTTTTTTTTGACGAAGAAGAAGAGGGCAGATTGGAGGATGATAACATAGCTCAATTTTTTGAAACAATGGATAAAACATTAATTGTTTTTAATAAATTCCCCCTTTTAAAAGAATTGTTTATCAAGTATAACACCGCAATCCCTTCATCTGCCCCTGTTGAGCGAGTTTTTAGTATAGCTAACGCTGTATTAACTGCCAAGTCATGCCTATCAGATGAAAATTATAAAAAGCAATTATTATTAAAAAAAAATTAATAAGAAAAATTTTTTATAAATTTATTTTTTTATCGCTCTATTATATTGTATTTATAATTATATTATCAAAATAAAACTATTATTTTTTATCATGGCTAATATATTGTGTTGAAAAATATAAGGCATTTATTTATATTAAATTAAATTTTAAAAAAATATCATAAAATTTTTTGAATTTGAACGTGAACGTGAACGCGTTCGATTTTTGTCAATGAACGTTGAACGCGAACGCGTTTGATTTTTTTAAAAATGTTTACAGCACTAATTTTAATTGATTTTTAAGGATACCATTTTTTATAATTATTTAATGTATCCAACATGTCTCCTAAAAATTATCCTAAGTAATAAAATTTATAATTTTTCTATAACTTGTTTAAAAAAAACTATATGGCAATTTATTTGTTCAAGACGATGAAATAACGATTATGAAAAAAAAGCTAGAAGAATCAAAATCGCAACTAGAATCCATTAAAAAGAAATCGGCACTACCTCGCAGGCATTTTAGTATCACAGAAGCTGATACAAGTGGTAATTAATATTATATCATTTTATTTATATATCCTATAAAACTCTCCCAGAATTTAAAGAATATAATTTAAAATTTTGAAAGGTAATACAAATTAATTATAAATTTTTTTTTAAAGATGGTGAAAATATTTTGGGTACACAAATGAATTTTACTCAACTTTACAACTATTACGTTAACAATTTGAAAGAAATCGACGATTTAAAGATAGAAAATCGTAAATTGAACCTATCAATGGAATGTATCATGCAGGTTAATTTGATTTCTTTAAAGCATAAAAAAGACTTTACTGAAATAGCAAGATCATTATACAGATCGGAACCTGTTTCAAAATATTTTAACGGGCAGGCCGAACCCATAATTTCATTAAAATTATTTTAAATTTTTCTAGCAGACGATTTTTACTGTAACAAACGATTTTTTAACTTTTATCGATTTTTTAAAATATATATTAACATTTTCTTAAATTATCGAAAAATTGCTATATAGAAAAATCAATTAGAAATAGACTGGACGGTAATAATAAATTATATTATTTTATCAAATAATTACCTAAAGTATTTTGCCAAAAGAATTAATTATTTAGGCTAATATTTAATAAATAAAATAATTTTTTACAGGAAATAGACAGGAAGGCTCCCATCCTTATCAAACAGGGCCAAGAATACAAACGTCTAATTAAAACTGTTGATATGCTGAGTCAAGAGTTAGATGAAGCCAAAACACTACTAAGAAACACTCAAATAGAGAAGCAAAGTCTGACTCTAGACCTCAAACGAGTTAATTATCAATGGGAAAACGTTAAAAGAAAAGTTTTTTTTATATAAAAACATTTGTAGGAAAAAACTGAGCAATTGTCTTTAATTATGCTAAGAAGATATAAGAGGTTCTAGCTCTCGCGCGCATAATGTTAAAAGATGGCAACAAAAATTAGATGTATTTAAATAAATTCTTAAAATTTAGGAAAAAATTTATCGTCTGGTATTAATTCGGAATAATTTCCATATTTTTAAAGTAATCTATGAAATATATATATAATATTTTATTAAATTAATTTCTCAAACGTTAGGACGATCTGGCATAGTCTTAGCCTTCTAAATTTTCATACATGCACTGCCATTAATGACGATGTATGACCGGTAGAAAATCCTTAAAGCCGAAAACAAATTTAATTATTTTTAGGCCCCAACTCGTGTATTTTACAAGCCTGCGTATTTAAAAATTTATCATCTGCCTATTAATTTTATTTCGGAATAATTGGTTTTATTTTTAATTTAACCATTATACACCGGCTTTCAAAGTTATTTTGGCTCTATTTTGCAAATGATTTATAAAAGGAAATTGAAAATGTGAAAAGGATTTAAACTTCTTAATTTACATAAACCTTTATTTGCTGTATCTTGTAAATAGTTTCAAAAAGGTAAATTAAAAATATGAGAAGGTATTTAACTTGTTAATTTACATTAAATTTTTTGATCTAACCCAATTTTTTGAAAAAAAATCATACCATTTTTGCGGGCCAGGCTTATAGATCTCTGTCATATGTTTTACCATAGGATATAAGTAAAATTTATGATTCCTCAGAAATAAATTTATATTAATATGTAATTCAAAAAGAAATAAGGCGATAATTTAACATTATAAAATTTAAAATTAATAATTGACGGGTAATATCAATTAAGGGATTGTCATGTTAGACAATGGACGCAAAATGATTTTTATTCGAGTTTTGCTCGGTGATATTTTGGTCCATGACTTGGTACGGTTATCCGAAGTAGAGTCCGACGCCAAACAAAAAGAGGTTTGACGTAGTGCCAAAATTTGTATATCATACCGTCTGAGTCAACTTCCACATATTTTTCACATATCTGGTGCATGCAATGCCTGAATTTATCAAAAATATTTTATAAAACATATATAAAAATAGGTGAAAAGATTAGCTTCCAATCAGGATATCACAGAATTCGTAGATTCCGAGGATGATAATAATGTTAGTAGCTCGGCCCTTGATAGAAGTTCTAAACGCATGCGCGTTCATAAAACGCATGATTTTTATGAGAGGTATTACCAAAAATTTAAATAAAGTATCAAATATTTTTTTGGTGGGAGGGGAGGTAGCTTATTAACCATTTCTAATTTTATATCTATTTTTTAATAATGGACTCTCTTTATAAATAAGTATCGGCCATATTTATTTTAAAAAATATTGATGCCTGCCGATATTTTTGAAATTCATTATAAAATGGTAGGTGCATTTTTTAAAAAAACATTTAATAGTGGATTTATTTAAAACTTGAAAGGTAAAATAAAATTTCACATCAGGTTTAATTAATTTGTAGTTTATTTATATTTGTACTACTTGTATTATGCAATAAATTAAGGATATATTGAGTTTGAGGTGTTATATAGTATTTTAAAATATAGATTAGAACGTTATATGTAAGGTAAACACACCTAACTATTCTTTAAGCAAAGGAAATAACATGCTAATTGCCCGATTCGAAAAATAGCCACTTTCATCAATTCTAACCCTATATTAAATTATTATAAGTTCACGGTGGTGGCGATATCGTTAAACAAATTTGTTACTTATCCTGTTGCATATAATATATAACAAAAAATAATACCAAATTTTTACTACATTGGCTTTTAAAATAATTCAATCCTTTTTTTTTACTACAACAAATATTATTATGAAAATTATGTATAAAATAAGGATCAGTTTTTGAAAATTATTGGCACAATCCGATAAAAGTTGCTAAATATTGGTCCAGATCCGATATTTAGTATCGGCACCGAAGTTTAATTATTTTTTTAACACCCCCCCCCCTCCCATATTTCCCAAAAAATGTATTGCCATTTTTTTTCTCTCTTTTATTACTTATCCCATGACTTGTTATTTTTCATATTGCTTTTTAGATCCGATATCTTACTCTTTTATCCCCTCTGGGGACTGAATTAAATCCTTATGTTCCTAAGATATTTATTTATATCGATTTTTTACCTTTGACGACCGGATTATTTTTTTTTTAAAGTGAAACATCAATGAACCCCACAGCCTTTAAGCAAATATTGGATATTCTTGAAGAAGACTATACCGATAGTATGACAAATAACAAGGCAAATAGTGATGTAGATGCCGAGGATCTCCTAAATCTTAGCAAGAAAATTGATTATTTTGAGCAAGAAATTATTCGGTGCAAGGAGATTAATAGGGAACAAGTTTATATTATTTGATTATTTTGAAAAAAAAATGATTATAAGATTAACCAGCATAAATTTATTGAGTAACGCTAGGACCGTTCTTCACAAATTAATTGGATGTTATTGTATATAAAAATATATTGCAGCCTAAAAAATGAGGAAAAAACATATCTAATTTTTCTCAAGGGTAAAAATTAAGATTAAAACTGGATAAAGATTTGACGCAATAATTTTATAAATTCATAAAAGTAATAAATCAAACAATAACGCATAAATTTAATTCTAAATGGTATAGGATTTTTTATGATTGTAATTTTAAGATAATATCAAAATATAATTTTAATCAATCCAGTTTCTTACCCTTTCAAAATATTATTGATTATTTAAATGTACCCTATAGTTCTTCTAATACAGAATTGGGGGGGGGGGGAGGTTCATAAACCAAATTTTTGAATTTTTTTTATATTTTTTTATCACGGGAAGAGTACACTCATTCAAACTCTTCGGAAGCAGACTAATCAATACCAAAAGCTTATGTCAGAAAGCGGAATCATGGCGGATAAAAATATCAAAACATCTGATAGCTTAGACACCAAAGAGCAAGCTTATACTGCGATAGAACAAGAAGCAAAAAGTAGTCCTCAATTTTTTTTATAAAATCAGTTGGGTAATGGCTTAATGTCAGCTGATTCTGCTCAATCCACATTTGCATGCCAAATAAAATCCTTATTACTAAGGCATTACTAGGCCAAAGTGATAATTTTCTGCTAAAAACTGGTTTGAATAGCTAAAAATACAGTAATTTTCCAACTATATTAAGAAGCAACATGTTGACTTTTAAAGAAAGGGAAAGACAAAAATAAAAAAAAAAAATTTTTAAACCAAAATTAACTTTGCAACTATTTCTTTAAATTATAGTTGATACGGAAAGTAAGATCTTGTTGGGTCGCATGAATACGGAGTTAGAAAATTTCAAGAAGATTTATCTCGAGCGAGAAACTGACTTGGTGAAGAAACTTCACGACGCTAATTTATCTAACACTGACCTCAAGCTCGCGAATAACAAACTAAATTATCAAGTATAATCCTCATAATTATTCGAAACATTGATAAATTGCAGACTGTCAATAATATATTTTTCATATACCCATGTATTAAACATTATGTACCAATCAAAGATTCTAAAGTTTTTATTGGACATAATATTTCAAATTCGCTCACTTTGGGCAGGTCTATGATCAACGTGCTTGATATAATATGATAAAAGATATACAATTTAAATATAAAACAAATATGATTCATTCATAAAAATTTTGAATTTCTAAGATTATTTTTAAATAAGTATATTTTTATTTTAAAATTAGGGATATTTTTTTTACCAAATATAATATTTCTCATAATCGGGAAAAATTTAAGATTAAAATAAGACCGCCCAAATAATAAGAGCTCAAATTAGACAGGTTTTTAATTATACTATTATCCATATTGCTATTATAGTCATTCAAAGGTTAATAACCCTGTTCCACTTGTTTTGTAATAACATTTTTTAAAAATCGTCTAGAAACTGTATAACATAAAAAAATAGGTAAATTCGGTGTTGGTGTCACTTGATCACGTGATATTTGACCACTCAGCTAATTTAATAACTTAACACTTGATCATAATAATTGTTAACATGAAATAACTTGGACAATCCCCTTTACCCAGGAAAAGGCTGTAAATAAATTTATCTTTTTCCCGTAACTTGTATATACCTTTTATATTTATCTCTTATAAATATCCTTGTTTCTAAACCTTAACTAAAGGTTTCTTAAACCTGAAAAATTTGACCCTGTAATTAAAAAATATTGTATTTTGAAATGTAATCTAGTGCGCTAGACGTTAAATACATTTCATATGATTGTTTTATTCTTTTTCTTAACATTTAGCTTCAATTGAATGAAGGAAAAGATAAAAACTTAAAATTCAGAATCGACGAACTCGGGCAAGAATTAGAAATCGTCAGAAAGAATGGAACTCTTATGACATCCAAATTGACAGAAAAGGAGATAAAAATTGATGAACTATATACGGTTTATAACAAAATTTATTTTATTTTCCTTGTTTGTAAAATTTCAACATTGTTATTTAAAGTATTTTTTTAATGTAAATTTTTTTTTATTTGAAATGATCAGGAAGTAATATCCCACAAGCAAAATATAGTGTCCTTAGAGTCATCGATTAAAAGGTTGCAAGGGGAAAAGGCTAATCTTGAAATGGAAATTGAATCGATTGCTAAGCGGAAAACTGATATTGTTAAAGAAGATTCTAGATACGACGCCATTTTAAACAATATCCGTAACCTTAAAGTGATTTTAAAATTTAATCATATTCTGTTTATTAATTAATCATAGGTATCCTTAGGTAGCAATTAAAATTTTAAGAGAGTAGAAGGAATATGTAAGGGATATATCGAGATTAGCATGTAAGGTTGTAAAACCAAAATGCTATCCGCGCAGATCTGATTAAAATATCAAATTCATTACAAATTATATAAACATTTTATTTTTATCATTATTATTACTTTAAAATTAATTTAAATTTTTGTCAATATTAGAATACATTTGAAGTGACCGAAAAAGAGACAGTTTGTAAATTAGCCAGTCAAAATGTGATTCTGCAACAAGAAAGAATGGAATTGAAGATTCGTCTGGAATCATTAATCTTAGAGACATCAGGAAAAATGGACGATTTAGAAGTAGTCTAATTATTTAATAATTCATTTTAAATAACAACTCAAAAGCAAGGGATCTATAACAAGGGGGCTTTTGCAGTTGGCAAATTATAATGAACTTTATTCTTCATCTTTAACTGGATTTATCGGTTTTACTAATCAGGTCCAAATTTACCCTCCAATTCTCCCCCTCACTCCACTTTCTAAGATATATAAGTTCGTTATTATATTAGCAATAATTTAATGTATTGGTGTTTTTTTTAGCATACAGCTACATACACAAACATAGGGAATTATATATATAATACATTTTATATTGACGAAGAAATATACTGTTATTATTTAGAAACGACTAGAAGAATCGCAAAAGAGTCTCAAGAATATAACTCAACACGATCAAAATTTGGAATCCGAGAAGTGGGCCCTTAAGAATGAAAATTTGAACATTAAACGTGTTGCTAACAGAAAGCTGAAGAAACTCATGACATCGGCTTTATCTCATTCTAAAGCGTTATCCGTATCCATTGGTAATAAAATATATAAATAAATGAATAATCAGTTGAAATGACATTTAAAAAAATCATTTTAGTATATTGATTGATGATTAAAACAACTCAGATCTTATATAAACATTAATGCCACTTCCTAAATCGACTTAATCTTTGTTCTGAATTCTATTCAGAATAGCAACCTGGGCACAATTTTTGAATTAATGATGGATTTAATGACATTAGGTGATTATATCTTTAAAATAATTTTAAGAATGTACTTCCTATTTTTTTTTAAATTTAAAAATCACTATTCAAGGCATATTTTAAATTCTTAAAAGATGTAAGGCGAGCTAGGACGCTGCCTAAAACTTTATTAAGTTATACTCCTCAAATTAATATCCTTTACTTACGTTTTTTATTAAACGATAAAAATCGGCCTTGAAGTTTCAAAATACTATTTTTTGCTATAACAAATGGCCAAAATATAACTAAATTTAGGGTTCGTCAATAAAATGTAATCATCTTCTCGTCTAAGAGTGCTTTTCCATGCTTACTTGGGTAAGCCCCGTTCCTCTCTGATTCCCCCTTTTAACCGTTTACGGTCCTGGGAATCGTTATTTATAAGACTCATTATAATCACGTTATCTTAACTTTCTCGTTGATCGAAGTGCAATCATCTTTCGTCTTATTAATGGCAAATTTAACATAAAATTAATATTTGGATCATTTGTTATTTTTGGCATCCTCAAAATGCGAATAAAGATTCCTTTTAAAAAAAGTTTCTAAGTATGTTTTTTATCTTAAGTTAATTATTTAAAGTATTAACTTATTTTATTAGTATTTTAAATGAAATAATTTACAAAAAAAAATATTAAAATAAGTAAAGTTTTCATATAAACAATTGAGATGCATATTTTTTAAAAAAATATGAAATATTTATTGTTTTTAGGCTTCTTTTACCCACTTCTGGCTTATAATATTATTTACAATTGAGATGCGTATATATTTTTTTAAATATTAATTATATATAGCTTCTAGGCATCGTTTACCCGCCTCTGGCCAATAATATTGATTGAATTATATAAATAAAGTAAAATAAAAATTAGCATCTCTGTAAAAATAAAATTTGGTTTAAACATAAATAATCATCATAAAATCTTTATATTTTTCTCTTTTTTTTTTGAAATGTCTTGTAGATCACTCTAAATCAAATATTCAAGAGAGGATACTTAAATTATATAAATTAAAACTTTTTTTCAAAAATATAAAAAATAAACACAAATTAAAAAAGATAATCTAGCCGACGCTTACCTATTCAAAGAGGACGTTGAGGGGAAACAATTAAATTCGACTATCATAGAAGGAGGTTTTTTTTCTTCTTCTTGATATTAAAACTTTTTCCCATTTTTCTGAAAGATACTTATAATTTATTGTTTTAAATAGGATCGGACATAGAGGCCGATGATAGGATCGATGAAATTTTTTCAACAGTTTTTGCCAATCGATCTATGACCGAGCCCGATTCTAAATCGCCACTAGGTACGCGGAGCTTATCAAATTTGACTCGGATCAAGGATGAAGAAATTCGTGGTATAATACATTTTTTTTCTTATTTAAACATGTTCATGGTTCGATCCCCCAAAAGTTTGAAATTTTGACTTAAAAAAAGGCTCTTCTATTTCGGTTCTGAATAATTTTTATAAAAATGATATATGGCTTTTTTTAGTATTTAACGACGTTCCGAGCATTCTGGTATAGGGTTTCCAAGCCGTTTTAACATTAAAAGAAATATTAACAATAAATAAACCCCTCTAAAATGAAATCGCACACAAGGTTTTTTTGGAACAGTATACATAGTAAATTAATTGCACATTTTTTGGAACCAGTTTCTTAATTTAAAAATAGGCGTCTGTTTTTATAAATTTTATGAGAGGAGTTCTGCGTACGGTTCCTATATATGTCTTCGGTTCCTGCGAACGCAGATTTTACTGCCTCATAATAGTGGGTTTAAAAAAAAAGAATTTATATTGTTTATGCTCATCAAAAATAAGTTTCTTAGTATCGGAAGGTCTTAAATCGAGGTTGGGTTGGTCGGCGATTGGTTGAGAAACCTCTAACTTACTAATGTATTTTAATTTTTCTTTTTTTAAGTTAGTAAATTTGCAATTGGGAATGATGTAATAATCGTTGTGGATGTGGACGCAACGCGATTTAACAGTTGATCGATAAGGAATATCATTTTGGTTAAAATTAAAAAATATCGGTCAATGATCAGAGTTGGGCAGTACCGCGAATACTTGTATCTAAGATACAGGATCCTTTTGTATCTTGTACTCAGTATCTTATTGACATTTTTAAGAAGATACTAGTATCTGTATCTAAGATCCTTTATTTTGAAAAGAATCTTGTATCTTTTTCATTTTCTTTAAAAAGATTCAGATACAGATTCTTTTTAATATTCATGTTTAAAACATTTACATATCACACAATGTAACTTTATTTTCTTCGTGAAATCTTGTATTATTTTCTTTATTTTTTCCCGCTATATTTTAAATATATTGTTAACCAAAATTAGTTGGAAGTTTTACAGATCACAAAGATTGATAGATTAAAAATAACAACACCAAAACTAAATAAGATAAGGACATATTTTATATGTAATATTTTTTAATTTGTAGAATGTTTAACAATCATAGTAGTGAAGATTAAATTATGGAGATAGGTTCTCCTGAATCAAATCCGAATCTTAAAATTCTAGATGGAAAATTTTATAAAGTAATTCATGTGAAAAAGAACAAGGTACAAGCTGAATGTCAAAATTGCACAAGTAAAAAAGTTATTACAGGTTCAACAAACTCCTCTACAAACTTTGTTAATTAAACATATTAAAGTATATTATACATTTTTATTTTATAATTATTAACATAATAATACCTATACTTAAGTCGCTCTTAGATAATTGTTATTAAAATTTTTTATAGAAGATGGTTGAATATCAAATTAAAATCATTTTGGATATATATTTTTTAGGGATGTATCGATGCCACTTTTTTCGAGGCCGATCCGATATTCCCGATATTAAATTGATATCGGTCGATTACCGATCCGATATCATATCTAATTTTGTATTCTGTAAAGATACCAATGGTTTTCATTTATAATATACTTTTTATTAGTATAACGTCTATAATTTAACTATACCATAACTTATGTCATTTAAATATATTATAATGATCAGTTTTAGTTTAAATTCAATTGCAATTCTATAAAAATATAAAATATTTTTATTGTTAAATCACTTTTATATAATAAGTAAGTAATAACATTTCACTTTTATATAATAAGTAATAACATTAATCTATATATATAATAAGTAATAAACAATTATATTATGAAATTTGAAATAAATATTTAACATTAATATATCGAAGATTTCTTTTTAGAAATACCAATATTTCCAATTTATCAGAGGTCAGCTTGCGGCGATAGTAACTGTCAATATCACCAACTTCACTAAAAACAGATTCTGAAGAAAATTTCGCACACTATAATAAACATAATACTCAAATAAATAACAATATGGCAGAATGTTTATTAATTATTTATTATTATTAAAAAAATGGATTTCGATTTTATTTATAAAAATAAATGATCTTAGATATAATTTTTTTTTTAAATTTTATAACATTTTATTTTTGTTAAAGAAGCCATTTTATATCGGATCAAATTTTATAATATTGGCCGATAACCGATATTTTAAAGGGTGAAGTCGGCCCGATCCGATAAAAAATATCGGCACATCCCTAATATATTTTATATATAATTATTTTAGCAAGTTCTTATTAGAGGAAATATTTAAGCTACACTTGATATATAACATTAGATAATTTTAAAAGGCTCTTAATAAAATAATTATAATAAAGTAGAATTTAACTTTATTAGTTACTTTTATTTATTTATGATATAAGTAAAATTATATTAGCATTTATTTACAAAATTTAATCAATTTAAGATGTATAAGAAAATTGTTATGTATTTAATAATTATAATATAATGTTATACATTATATTCATATTTTTTATATATAATTATTAATTTTGCAAGAAATATATAAAAAAAATTTGAAAAGAGATTTAAATGATATTTATATATTATTACAAACGCAAGAATTAATAAGTCATATTAGAAAATTAACTAATTTAAAAAATACATAAATATCACAAACAAATAATGATAAATAGTTATTAAAGATAATGAATAAAATAAAACTAGTATATTTTTTTAGAGACGCCATTTAGCCATATACTCCGAATATAAGCTATATTTAAAAAAACACAGAAAATAACCTGCAAATTCTAATAAAACATTTGATTTAATTTTTTTTTCTTATTTGGAAATTTCCAACTCCCATTAAATATATTACTCTCCCTTCCCTGTTTAAGCTATTAATGGGCAAAAATTAATATTAAAATCCCTGTTTATTATAATTAATTCATTAATAAATATTTTATTAATTATTGCAAATATTCATTCTTATATGTGTATGCTATGTTCTTCACAAATAAATAATAAAAACTGTATTTTATAAATTATTCTAATTTAATTGGTAATGATAATTTAAAAGTATCTTGTATTTAAAATACTCTAAATAAAAGATACAAGTATCTTTTATCTTGTATCTTTTTGATATTTTGAAAAAGATACTAGTATCTGTATCTAAGATTCATTTTTTTATTAAGAATCTGTATCTGTATCTAGATTCTTTTTCTGTAGGACCTGCCCAACTCTGTCAATGATACCTTGAGTATCGGCCTGATACCAAGTATCTTCGCGTCTCTGCCTATTATGAATGCTTGGAATTTGATTATGCATTATAATTGTGATATTCAATCAGGCAAAAATAGCAAGGAATAATAAAATGGATATTTATTGGACCACGACCTAGGATCTATATTATATTGTTGAATTTATCGCTGGCTGAAGGGTCGGCCCTGGCAGGACTATTAGTAAAAGGGGTATGAGACCGAGAATAGAAAGGAAATATAAATATTTTTTTCATACGAAAAAAATGGTTTTTATGACTAATATTTTTGAAAACATTTTAATTTTAAGATCTTAAAAACGTTATCCAAAATTCTGATCAACACATAGTTCAATACCAAAGCATCACCACCGCTTTGGAAACTCAGCTTAATCAAAGTCAAGATTTAGTGGAAAACTTGGAAAGAATTATTGAAAAACAATTTGAACAGATGCGCCTTATTAAGGAAGAAATGTCGGCGGAGGTTTGCAACATACAATATAATTATTTATTTTTGGAGAGGAGGGGGGGGGGCTGTTGTATGTAATATGTTTGCGAGTGCTTGTTTGAAATATTCGAATTTTTTTTTAAATGGAATTAGCAAACATTATGATATATAAATATCTAAATTAAAATCCGTGCCAATTTCTGTTTTTATCAGCCCTCCCCGCCTTTCTTGAACCTTAGTAAAGAATAGATATCTTAGAATATTAACGATTGACCGCAATAGCAAATCATTAAAGTTTTTAAAAAAAAACACGCGAAAATATATGTCGGCACATTTTAAAAATGTTTATTTTATATAATTGGATTCTTATTCTTAAAATTAAAATAAAATAAAATAATAATCAATGGTTGCCGATGTTAGAATTTTAATTAATTCATATAAAATTTTAATAATAAAAACAGAGTTTGAAAAAATCTTACAAATTTTGGCGCAATAAGAGACTTCACAAAGGATCCCAGCAAATTTTTATAGCTTCGACTCTCTTTAATATATATGGTTTTCCTTTGAAGATCACAAAATGAATCATTTTAAAAAAAAAATAATTTGTTGTTTCTTCATGAAAGATAAATTATGTGTAAAAATCACAAAATTTGGGATTTTAGGTATAAATTAGATCAAAAAACTTGTTCGAGCATTTCCAAAAAAATAATCCTTATTTTGAATAGAATTTTCAACTCTAAAGTCCATAATAGAAATAGTTGTTATTCTTTATTTAACATAGTCATTTCCCATCCAGTGTAATTTAACAGGTTAAATGATACCGAAATTTTAAATATTATTTAGTATTATAGGTTATATACAATTTTAAACGAGCAACTCATAGAACATATTACTATAATTTTCTTATCGTTATATTTTTCTTCATTTTGTAATGTACTACTCAATGACCGCAAAGTTGCTATCATTTTCTACTTCGAGAGGCTCATTTTTTGAAATTTGCCTTTCGTTTAACATGTCCTAACTATCCTAGCTTATTTATTGTCACGGCATCGTCTATCGCTACTTTTCAAATTCTTTCTCAATTTTTTCCTCCCTTTTCTCTCTCACTCAAAGATATCCATTTAAATATTCTCATCTACATTCTTTCCAACTTGGCTTCATGTTTCGCCTTAATTGTGCATGTCTCGTCATGAATCATGCAACCTTCTTACACAGCTTGTTTAAACTTTTCCCTTTCATTTTTATTCGTAGTTAAAGACATCTCTCAAATTTTTCCATGCATATCTTATCCTTGCCACCAATGCCAAAAGTATATCGCCTAAGTAGCAATACTTCCTTCCTTTTTCAGAATTATGATATTTCCAATATCAAAACTAATCGTATTACCAATATCTTGCGTTCCTTTCACACACTTTCTATCGTTTGTCTCATTGCACCAATTTCTGGAAGTCATGAATTGAGACGAAGAAGGATAATACCTTGTACATTTATACTTTCGATTAAATTTATTAATTGAGAAAATGTTCTATTTTAGTGTTCATGATTAATTCTGAATATAAGGAATTTTGAATGATATTATAAATACAATCTACATGCTCTCCCGTGATTTAGTTATATCATTATAAGGACAAAATAATTAATACATTTGTAAAAAAAAATAAAAGTGGGTACTCTTTACCTTAAAATAAGTTGGTTGGTTCTTTTTTTAAAATATTTTATTTGATCATAAATTATTATCATCGATATTCCAAGGTCAGAATATCAAATTCATTTCTCCCAGTTTTTTGCGCGAATTAAATTTGATTAACTTTTTAGATAACGAACCTGAAAACTCGCCTGACTCAAACTCAATCCGATCTAATGAATTCACAAAAATCTTTAGCGAATCAAACCATGCTAAATACGCAAGACCTCGATTCGATCAACGAGCGACTTATTCTCGAGATAGACAAAAATACGGAACTTGAAGAAAAATGTCTTGCCAAAACGGAGTTAACGGAACATTTGAGAAAGGAATTGGAGGGTTCCAAGCACAAGATTGACGCTTTGATTGAATGCGTGGAAGATTTAGGGAAACGAATGGAGGGAAGTAGAGCGAACATTCTGGAAGAGAATCTAGAAGTAGGAAAGGCGGAAAATGATTTAATGGATTTGGATACTTCCGGCGCCGAGACCAAGGGAAAATTGGTAAATTTATATTATTTTTAGAATATTTATTCACTCGATTTTTGTCAAATGAAGTTTATCACATTACGGAGAATGGAAAACAAGAAAGAAAAAAATCTAAAATAAAATTTATTTATGAAAACCTTATTTCTTACCAAAAAATTATAAGGATCAATATTCGAAGAAAAATACAAAATTAGAACAGGAAAACAAGGAGCTGCTTAGTAAGTGCAATTCATTAGAAAAGTTTTGTGACAGTTTGAACCAGGAAATAGAAAAGGTTTATATTTTTTTTATTTAAGTCTATTATTATTAAATATTTTATTTTATATCACCATTTTATCTAAAGGTTTTAACGCCAATTAAAGTCCCCATGCCAGTGGAAAAAAACATAGAAGATTAATTTATATTGAAATAATATAACTCGAATTTTTTAAAAAATTATGAGAATTACAAATATAAGTTGAGCCCTCGTATTTTTAGATAAAAGTTAAAAGCGGAAAACGTAAAAATAATATTAAATTTCTCCTTCTGGGATCCTAAATCGAATGGATATTTTTTTTTAAAGGCGATGAAAAGCAAATTATAGTGTTCGTTTTTTATCATAAATATATATTTTTTTATTGATTGAAAATTTCTTATTGTTCTACTTATTGCTATCACATACAAAAATATATATAATTATCAATTTATTTTTTAAGTTGAAATCCCAATGGGCAGATGTGATGGGTAGATCTGACGATTCAACTAACGATATAACGCTTGTCGAAATTCAAGAGATATTTGGTAGGAATCAGGATGGCGATAATTCTACAGCTAATAATAACCCTGAAAGGGGGCTAAATTTGATCAAATATATCAAGTTATTTATTTTTTTTGGTTTTTGTTTTTATAAAAAAACACAATTATATTTTTAAAAAACGATTTACTTAATTTGAAGTGCAACGGCTTGATTTTCATCTAATAACCAACATAGCTTTATAGAAAAAAGAATTTTAAAGTTTTATCTTACAACCGTCGCAGTCGTTCATAATTATAACCATGATAACGATAATCGTAGCTTCATGGATATAAGTCCTATAATTGCTTGTTCACCATTAGCTTGGGACCGTGATACCCAAATCATCTATAAGAGACTAAATTGGGTAGCGGGAAGAGTGTTAATATTCTTGGTCGCCCTATTTGTTACTAATGATTGAGTTAATAGTTGACTAAATAAACATCATTCATGTCTCTGCCCAGAACCATAAAAAAGTTTAAATTCACATTCTTATATGTTTTAAAAAAATACGAAATTTCAGCCTAGCCTGTAGAAAAAATATTTTGCCTAGCATAATGGATATCTATAAACAAAATCTTTTATGCACACCACATCTCGAATGCACGTGTACATTTTTACTATTTTTATAAGTAGGAAGATGGCACATGTAAAACTAATCATATTTTTTTTATAGGAATTTGAAAGACAGATTTTTAAATCTTTTCATTTAATGGGAACACAGAATCATTATCATTATTTGAGTGCAAGGCCCCACTACTCCTACATAGTCTAACCGTGAGATAGAGGGGTACTTGACCCATTTAAAAGTACTATAATGCTCTTCTTGATAAATGAATGCGTTTTTGCATAGTAGGAAAGCGTTTCGTAGTATTTTTGACATATCAAGGGAACCCCCCTATGTTCCACGAAATATTTCGCGCAGGTTTTTCTTTCAGAATATTTCCTTCGATCTAAATTATTATTAGTTACGCGTAACTAAAAAAAATATCATTGGTAATTCAGTTAATGTATAGAATGATTAAGACATTTTACACACAAATAATGATAGTGATATTAAGTCTCTTTAATGTCAATTTTCATAATAAAATGCAAACTTGTTTCAATAATTTTCGAATCTCATATTCTTTTACTTTTTAATCAAACGCCCCTGGACACAAACGACTTAAACAATATAATTACAATCCCCTAATTTTTTTAACAAATATTGAAATTTAGAAAGGCAGGTAACTGCTTAAAAAAATTAATATAAAGGATTGGTTATGCAACCATTTTCTTCTCTTTTAAAAGCAGTTTGAAAACGGAGAGGATTAGATCAAATGCACCGATTAATAGACGCCACATTCGAGATTTACGTTAGTTGAAATTTAGAAAATTAACGCTAAAAATAAACATATGAATGATTGGATATACAGGCTCCATTTTTTTCACTTTAAAAAGTAAAAACTGAGATAAGATCAAATGTACCAGATAATAGGAGCATTCGAGTTTTGTGCTAAGGTTGTTACCATATGTTTAGCAAACCGATTTTGGGTCGGTCGAACTCTTGCAGATATTTTTTGGAATCGGTTGGATAAGGTTCTTCATTTTAAAAATGTATTTCGGATTGGATCGAACTTGAAACCTCATAATTGTTTTCTTTGATTTGGTCGGACCTGAAAAATAATGGGTTCCTACTGTAAGGGCTCTGTTAATCAAGTTCGAGTATTAATGATCTACGTGTTTCATTATGAATATTTACCATTTTGCACCATGGTATTTTGTCAACCATTTTATTGGGCATATGGTAAGATTAATTTTTTTTAACGAATTCTTAGCCCACGCCCAAATTAAATTATTATTAGTAATAAGCTTAATATTATTTCTTAGGCTTTGAAATTCTCTCTTTAGGCTTTGTCCAAAACGTCAAAATAATAATTTCGAATACTTTCAAAGAATTTATTTAAAAATGCGAAATTTTTGAAATTAATTTCTAAAAGTTATTTTAGTATATATATATATATATATATACGGTAAAACAAAAATGATCTAGAGCTAGCCCCACCTCACCATATATTTATTACCAATATTTTTAAAATAAGTAAAAATTAAAAAGGAGGAAATAAAATTTAAATACTACTTCTTTTTTCAATATTTTGGTAATTAGAAAACTAAATATAGAGGGCGAAATTTATGTTTTTTTCATTTAGAGTAAACATGCTTTTCCATTTTATTTCGAATCCCTGATTGAAAACATATAATAACGAAGCGATGAAGTTGGCAAATAGCCTCCTTTAATATTTATCTCGAAGTTATTCTATTTCAATTTTTTTTTTACGAAACTAGTTATTTGAAACGTTTCAACAAATCTTCCCGCAATGATAACGAAACCATGAAAATGGAGATAGCCAGATATACGCTTAAAATAGATTCACTTCAAACGGAAATATCAAACCTATCTGATTTACTTAACGAGGAACGTAAAAATAATCAAGTAATTAGTTCTAGAAAACATAAAATAAATAATCAATTTCAATAACAAAGGTTATGCTTCGATAGGCTAATTTCCTCTTAGATTTCCTCTTATCCTTTCTCAGTATCGGCATCATCATTGATGTAACTTATTTTTTCATGCCCATCTTCACCGCATTCATTCATGCAATTTTTATCTCCATTTTCAAAATATTATGCTGCTTCACACAATCACCACTGGTTTTTCATTAATATCTCAGTCTATATATTCTTATTTCATCACCCATCACTTCCATCCTAAGTCTTTTATGCAATTCTCTTGTTTTTCCTTTAGAGATATTCCACACAACCATTTAGCCATTTTCATCTCCGTTCTTGTCCAATTTAATGTCGTATTGCCTACAACTTCTCATTACGTAAATTCCCCTTCAAAGCCAAAGGGAAATTTTTATCCATTTGAGTATGGCATCTCTCCTAACATCTTCCATGCATATATGCCTTTTGCCGCAACAGCCGAGTAAACACCCTCTATCTATCTTTATTTATATTAATTAACAAAACTACTTTACTTTCTTCAAGATATCTCCATTTCCTATATCCAATCTAATCCTATCTAGACAATCGTCTTGAGTTTTTTCCACCAATGTTCCACAAACATTTAGCTTATTCCGAACTATACCTTTCCCTGCACCATCTATATAATAGGAGTCAACCACCCGTGATAATTTTTAGAAAGATTTTTATCGGGCCGACTTTAAGATAATTTTGTACAAGTTATTCAGTCTGACCCGAAAATCTGTTAGCTGCCATCTTTGCTTTTTAAACTCAATCCTTGATATAATGAATTGAATTATGAGCAACACCTTTACCAAATGGTCAAATGCTGACCCGATCCCTTCCTTATTATTCATTGCTACTATGCCCACTTAATGATTTCGCATGGCACAATTTTAAATACCTTCCAAATTTGAAATGGCGCTCTTTCAATTGATACTCTACCTGTATGCCTCATCACGAAAATTGGGTTTATCGTATCTTTCCCTATTATAAAGCCAAACAGAATTGCATTCGTTTCACTTGATATTCCCTTCTCTAACACTCTTCTTGCTCGTTCATCAGTCTTACGATGATATGTTTCTTATAGGTGCTAGACTTATTTCTTTTATTTAAAAGTTCTTTTGGTCGGCCAAAATGTTAATGGATGATGAGATTGGTATAATCCGATCTAATTTAGGTTTTCAGATTGTTGTAAATATATATCATAAAACATTTTATAGTTAGTTAATATTAACCTATACCACCATTTTTCCAATTCCCAAATAATTTATATTATAAATTTAAAAGTCATATTTATACCTGGAGAAAATGAGCTCTTTTCAGTCCGAAAAAGAGGACAGGGATATGGAAATAAGAATCCTCAAGGATAATAACGAAAAATTGCACCGGAAATATCTGGAGATCATCGAGGAAACTTCGAAGCCTGTTAAACCTGACCAAGAAGCGATCAAACTCGCTCAATCAATGAAGATCGAAAATAAGACCTTACATACCGAAAATACGAACTTGAAGTTTTATATGACTCTCAAACTTCTATCATATTTTTTAAAAAAAATTTACTTAAGTATTACTTAAATTATCAATTATTAATATTAAAAGAGATTTGAGATTTTAATATTTGTGCACACTGCACACACAAATATAAAATCTTACACTTTAGTATCTATTTTCTGTGATTTCTACCATTTTTTTATGAATCTCTTTCATATTTGGCATATCAGAAATAAATGCATTTTGAGAGATGGCTAAATATTACTCATTTTTTATTCAACAGGAATGTTGGCCACTTAATAATCATAGCATAGATATTTCTAATTCTTAATTATTGATACTAGGAGGAAATTCGATAAGGTTTATAAGTGGTATTCTCGATTGAATTATGAGTTATATATAGTTACTACATGCTAAACAGAATAGACTGGGAAAGGGTTGGAGGCTTATATTTACAACAACACACATGATATGATACACTTATTTCTGGCCCTAATCTGTCATTTAAATTTGTATAATATTTTCTTTTGTTTATTTACGAAAATGAAGGAATTCCTTATCCAGACTCGACGAAAAATGCGCTAAACAAAATCTGGAAATCATTAACCTAGGATCCAAGAGTGACGAGATAAAACGCCTCAAAAACGATGTCGAGGAGACATCTCTTAAATTGGCAGTTTACTTGAACAAAGACCAACTCAACGAGGATAAGATCAGGGACTATGCTATAGAATCAGAAGCTCAAAGGACTAAAATCGAAGAAATGGTTTTAAAAAAAATATTTATTAATTTGTTGGAGGGGAGGATTCGTAATCTGATCAGATATTAAAAACCAAACCCGAGTCAGGCCTAGGAATATTTTTTTAAATTTTGATTATAATCAATTAATCTCTTAGAAAAAAAATCATATACAGATTGTTTAGCATTCATTTACTATTCATATTTTCAATTTCCTCTTGGAACAATATACAAAGTACATACAACAAAAATTATTTAAAATAATAAAATTTTGAAAATACCTGGGCAGGTCATAAAATATAATTTAAAATTCACAGGCTGGACTTAACTTTTCAACCTCTGCAGATCTTTGAAATAAAAATTAAAACATTTTTGTTTACCATTTTTTAAATAATTGCTGTGATGTAATTTCAATTTATTTTTATTAATATCTCATTGAAAAAAATTTAGTCGATTGATATATTGTAAATAAGGCAGAGTCCTAGATATTCTTAAATTTTGGGTCAAAACTTCACAGTTTTTTATATATTTTGACATGAGTTTCTCTTAAATTAGCTTAATAAAGTTCAAAGAAAGTCAACTTTTAACTTTTAAAAAAAATTGTGATACCTAGGAATGTTGAAATATATTAACTTTGTTATATTATAATATTCAGAGAGTTACTAACAATAAGCTCAAAGGGATCGCTCGTAAGTATAAGCAACTACACGAAAGTTCTCAGGTGGCTAATCCAGACAACAACAACAACATGTTAGAACCGACGTCATCTATGGCTGATAATACTGTAATATTCTCTTTTTATATAGTGAAAAAGGTTTTAAAAAAATTTGAATTTCTATTGAATAATGAAAATATATGCAGAAAAGGGCACGAAGATATTTTGTTAGATTAAAATAATTAGCAACAAATATTTATTGACTCGTATGAGTGATAAAAAAATTTTCTAGATTTCTCTATCCCATCTTTGGGTAATCCCCCCCCCCTATCTCATGCTTTATTTGTGCCATACACTACATAATTCTTAAACCTTCTTTTTTATGAAAAAATGTTTTTTATCTAAGAATAAATACTTATCTTCTTTATATTATGGTTACTATCCGACATTTGTGATGACTTTATCTTCAAAATTATTATGGTATAATTTAATAACAAAAAAAATATCAAGGGATTCGGGGTCTCCTCCGAGATCGGTTTGATTGGTGACGGCGTCAATACGAGCCATGATGAGTCTTTTAAAAGTTATTTTTTTTGATTAGATTTTTTTTGTTCAAAAATTTATAATATTGGTTACTTATTTGAATTTGATTTATGAATAAACAGCATATCCAATATAATTTTTACAAGTTATGAGATAGACTGAATTGTATTAAATTACAAAATTATTTATTTTTTGCAAATAAATTTTACTAAGTTTCAAGATTTAGGTTGTGCATGTCCTAACGCATCGCATTTTTATTTAGAAATCTGTATGGTTCTCTGAATAGAATATGATATTTGGGCGAAAATAATACAAGCATATGGTACTCTCGTTACAGGTCAATTCTGCGCACGACGATGATTTATTTTTAAAATTACAAGATGGTTGGAGTTGTTCTTATTAACTAAATCCCGGACATAAATGTCCTGGAAAAAAAGACCCAAACAGAAATACTCCGGACAAAAATAAAGATTTAATAAAAATTTTAAATTCTTAGAAAGATGAGTTTTTTAAATTAATTTATTCTATACAGCTATATGTATCCGTTAGATTTTACCGAATGTATTGGGTTTAATGTCTAGTAAAATTAGCATATCTCACCATCTAATATAAACACTAACTCTTATCTTTGTTGCATAGCCCAAAGCTTACCACTAACACGGTTCACTAGATTGGTATCAGGCCTTAATTGTGTAGTTTGGTTAACTAACATAATATATACTTATTAAATGCTTTACGCTACTCAGCAGGCCTTTGTCTAATAAATTTTACCAAACGTAATGGGTTTGAATCATAATCTACAGCTTAGATTAACATTAGCATCAGACCTTGCCATGAACCATGCAGCAACATTTATCCATCATTTAAACATTTCCCAATACTCCATATTGTATATTTTATTATAAATGTAAGTTAAATATTTTTTTAGTGAAGAATGAAACATATGTGTGGAAGAAATTAATAATGTTTTTGAAACCCTTCCCATTTTATTAAATATTTTAAAAAATTATTAAAATTTGAGTCTTTTTGTTCAGGAGTATTTTTATCCAGTGTCTTTTTATTCTGAGTACTTTTGTCTAGGACATTTATATCCGTGGTTCAATTAATAGGATCAAAGTGGCTTATAATAATCAATTAAATGATGATTTTTGAATAAATTGCAGCTTAATTAGATCCATGCTGAATTGTCATAGCGACGACGAATGTCATTTCGCCTAATGGTCGTCGCGCCGAATTGACGTGATACCCATTAGTGATCTGCATCGGGCCAAATTTTTCAAGCCCGACCCGGCCCGAAATTTTTTTTAAAAAAGTTTTGACGGCCCGAACCCGAAATTTTTTCTAAAAAAATTTACCGACTCGGCCCGGCCCGAATTTATTTAAATATAGAAATTAATTTATATAATTACTCAAAATAAAAGACATATGTTATATGTCGTTTAGTTTCAATAAATAAAATCAAATATTTTTATTTTACATAAAAAATTCAATATAAAATTGATAAATTACGATATATTTAAAAAAATTTCCAAAATCCGACCTTGCACGAAATTTTTAAAAATATTAGGCCCGGCCCGAAGCCCATTCGGGCCGGGCCTAACTTTACAGATCTTTAATACCCATTACTTTCTGTAAAAAACTGTTATATATATTTAAAAAAACATTGTATTCGCTTTTCTTCTCAATAGAATTCACAGCCTTCGGGTTTATTTTTTTCTTAAATACATGCAAATTTTTGGTTTAAAAAAAACAAACAATATATTTACCTATTTTATAATAAATTATTTATATGTAGGAAGATACGATGAGGCTTTGATAGAAACCGATAATTATCGAACCAAATGTGAAGGATTGCACAAGGAATTAGGTTTGTTTTCATATTCTCGCTTATTTTCTTTGGAAACCTGCAGAGATATCCATTTTACAAGCCTGTTCTGAAATGGTTTGTTGTCATGTATTTATATACAAACTGAGGACTTTATTTCTGAAGACAATTCTAGATGTATACCAAATTTCTGAACCTAGAGATATATCATATTAATTTATATATATAAGAAAAATGAAAGACTAATTATGTATAAAGCTAATTATATATATTTTTTTTGGTTAAATATTTGGGGGAGGGAGGGGGGGGGGTAGAATGTTTAATTATTTGTGGTGGGAATAATTGTAGTGTACATTTGATCTCTCAACGTGATATAGAAGTGTTTGCGTTAAAGATTTCTTAATCCATCATAACGTATGGATGTTATCGACCATATTCTGTTAATGTATGGAAATTCATGCTTTTAGCGATTTATTATGTCCTGTTCTGGTTCTGGTATCTATTATATGAATGTAGGTTTGCGATTCGTTGTCCAGTATTTATTTTTAGCCAACCACTTTGCCAGAGCAAAAACATACTATGAAAGGCATCCAAAATTATAGTCCCTCCCCGAAATGTCCAATGAAATTCCTTCTCTCAAAATAGCAGTACAAGAGTTAGGCCGAAGCTTTTCCTTAATATTTCTTAGAAACGTCACCAAAAAAGTCCAGACTTACTGTTCCTGATATGGCCATCAACGAAGGAAATTCATATATTGACAGATATTATTACACCAATCAAAAACAATACCCCCTTTAACCCGCTTCAGCCTCAAAATATATGCAAAGTGTCAGTCTACAAACTATATTTAATCTCCATGACCTTCACCCCCCCCCCATTTGCGAACACTTCCATAACAATATTAACCAACACAGATCAAATAATATCAACCAAATTCGCTTAAATAAGACCTAGAGAAATTACCCCAAAGAGGCAAGTCAGTACCCTCAAATACAAGTTATAATCAAAATTCTCCCCAGATTGACCCAAGAACTAAACTTCCCTCGTTTCTTGATTGCAGTCGTTAAGAAATTTCTCCAGAAAAAGAAACGATCCAATCATAATTGCCAATCTTTTCATGAATCATTTCTTACAATGCACCAATTATGCCCCCGACAGTGACTTCGGTCCATAGTGCACCCACCGGGAACTTATACAAGCTTCTCTGCTAATAGGCATAGACTCAAATGACAGTACAGTTATCACGCTAAACACCTGGATAAATCATTCTTCGTTAATGCTAAAATCACACTCCCCTTTTAATACCCATTGACTATACAAATATCCACGAGAAAGGTTTTGTCCAAAGTTCACTATTAAGTCGTCGAAAATAACAGTGGATACTTTAAAACCGAATTCTTTACAGTTATTATATCATTTTACATTTCCTTTAGTTTATTCAACTTCCAGAATTCGCCTTTAGTATTTCCCTTAATCATATAATGTAAAATGATTGGCCGTTATCGATATCGATTTATATAATCCAAAAAAAAGTAAATAATTTATTCTCAAATATGAATCGTCCTGTTCAGAAATTTTGGTATACCGATGGCAAGTTATAATTAAAAAGTAAAACACTTCTGGAATGTTTTATTTTTGTGCTTCTTTTATATTTCACGGCCTTCAGTTTTAAAATGCTAGATTGTAAGTTACCGGATCTACAGGTTATAAATTTTTCTTCCAGTTACTACCTATTTATAAAATAATTCATTCAAAATTTTAGAAGAGAAAAACTTGAGATTAGCTTCCCTAAAGTCTCAATATGAAGCGCGCTTCAACAGGCTTAAGCTACAATTACAAAACCAACAAGTTTCCGCGATAGCTTTCGAGAGTCCGATTGATAAGAAGGAGCCCGAAATAAAAAATGCCACTGAGATGTTTACCGATAATTATCCGAATTCCAAGACGAATGAAGAAGATATGACAGGCTCGGTTTAAATTTACTTATCAAATTATTTTATTGCTAAATCTAAGGGAATTCCTCGTTTTTTCGAAAATGGAAGTTTTTATGGCTTCCATTACAATCCTTATGGAAAATAATATAATTTACAAATATATTGTTGCATTTTTTTATAACTTGCTACATTTGGTTAAATTATATTGTTTTGGAGTTTTCTTAAAGTAATATTTAGACCTTTGTTTGATTTTTTCCCCTATTTTTATGTTTGAACAAAATATTTTACATCCGTGTATACCATTAGTTCTCCTCTAATTTTAGAAAAAAAAATATTGATTAATATAATTGTAATTATATCCTAACTAAATAATTAGCTATTTTTAAATTTATAATAGCTAGGCTGGATATTTGTTTAAAAATGCAACAATTCTTATATCCTTGCTCGATTATCGGAGTTCTTAAAAAATTCTTATTCATTGTTTTAAATAAATGTATTATTTATTTTTAGAAAACTTTATTTATAACCGTGGCATCGACCTCCACTCCTACCAAAATTTCTCATACAACTAAATGGGAACCCGATTTGGAAACACAAGATAATACAATTCCGACACACATTATTACAGTTCCTGAGGACACTAAAATTTCCAATATATCACCATCTCACTCCTTTTATGCCTCTTCGCAAACCGAGTAAAAAAATGGAATTATCACTCATTCATTGCTATAAAAAAGTGGTCATTGTTTAATTTTGTTCTAACAATAACTTAATAAAATATATTCTTTCCAAAATTTTCGTCCTTTAGGAAATCAATATTATATCGATTATATCTCATTTCAATCGGTTTTAAAAAGAGTGTAAACTTTTACATATTCATGGGCATGCTAAAGAGTACGTTAAAATCTGTCTAAATTGGACACCGTTGGGATTAATATTTTTGCCCAGCGTTGACAGTTACTCAATTAATCAAGGCATTTTCTAATACATAGCATCGTTAATAGGAATTTGATTGGGACTCAAAATTTTAATAAAATTAGGGAGTTGCCTGAATTGTCAAAAGCCAACATTAGAACAGTTTTGACTATCACCTCAGCTTTGGAGTTGTTTAAATCTAAATCGACTTTTAAAAAAGAAAGCTGTGCCGATCCAAAAAATTACCAATCCTGTGATATTTTCGGATATTACTATAAACCGATACCGATTAAATATATATTGATTATTATTTATCGTCTATCTTTGAACCAATCTCATAAAAAAATTGTTATTTTCTATTTAAAAAAATATACCAACTAACTTTTAACGAATGATTAAGTGTATTAAAGTTAGTAATTTATATGGGCAATTGTTTTGGCTGAATGCTATGTTGTTAAAAGGTTCCATCTAGCTAATTTTTAATAAATGCATAATCAGGATTTTAGCCAAAATATTATTACTTAAGCCTCGAAATTTCGCCAATAGTATGTCAAACCTTTCTGCTATTTCTGGACATAATTTTTAAGATTGGCTAATTTACACCATTTTTAAAAATTGGCTAAACATGATATTTAACAATAATAGCTTAATGTATGTTGCAGTTGCAGTCAAAATATAATATCCAATTTCTAACTGCTTATCTTTTCAAACAATTCGATTTTTTTTAAACATGACAAATAAATTGAATTTTGGTTCCTTTATTATATAATTTTATATACATTCAAAAAATAATAATATTGGGTCATCTATTTAAAAATATCTACCCCGATCCCATATTTAATATTCGCACAGCCCTAATTTTAAATAAGTATAAATAAATTACATGCTTTTGCCCAATTACTGAGGCCACTGGTATTACCTAATGAATATAAATTTAATTGCATTAAGTTGTTTTATCGACAAAAGCCCAACATGATACAAAAATTTAAACCAAAAAAAATTGTTATCATACATTTATATTGCCCTTTCAGTTCTCACGGTTTATCTGCCCCACCACCCAAGGCCAATATCAAGCCTTTCGGTTCTTTTTATCGAACGACTCCATCATCTTCTCAACGTATCCTTCCTTCGACCACTTTCGTTTTAACTAATACAACGATTAATTCTGCATTCACCAATAATTATTCATATTCTACTGCGTTATCTTGCACTCCTCAAACTACCTCATTATTTTTCTCTAGCCTAGCTAACCCCTGTATTAATGTGTTCAGTGATCTAAGAGCGTCAACGGCCATAGCTTCATTTCAGTTAGATCACAACAACTATATCAGTGACTTTTCTTATGGGTCAACTACTGCTTTTGATGCGAGTAGATGTATTTCAACTTTAGAAAGTAATATCCTGGATAATAGCTTAACTGACATTGTTCCTACTGTTTCCGAATCTAGCTCTACAAGCGATTGGACTTCTCCCTCTATTAGTCTAGTTATAGAGCCATACTCGTCATTATCCCCTCTTGTCACACCAGTCTTCAGCGATTCCACGATCACCAACGTCAATTTTGGTGGGTCATCAAATACGAATTTAAACGAAGCCACTTTTGGTGACAATCAGTCCACGCCAATTTTTTCCAACGTAGTAAGTCCTATCAATATAGGAGGGCACGGAATTTTCAGTGGCGGTAAAACTAGTTACGCCGATGTATCATTTTCCGGAAGTAACAGTGCTTCTTATTACAGTAGTAGCACTCTGCCTTATTCTCATCAGAAACCAGCCGTTTGTATCAAGCCTTTATCGTTCGCTCAGTATTCGCCTCTAACGAGTATAAACCTTTCTTATTTTTTGAAAATAAATAATATTTATATATCTTAGGTTAATTAGATACTGGATTCTTTAAATCATTTATATCAAATTTCGTCATTCAATTTTAATTGATTTTGTATATTAACTAAAGTTAACCCAAGATTTTATTACTAAATTGTTTGATATTCATAAGATAGATAATAAGAAAAAAAGATTACACGAATTCTGACAAGATCAAATTATTTAGGATTTTTTTTTAAAAAAATTAATGCCTCTATAAAGTGATTTAAAATTTTAGCGTTTCAGGTAATACCCCATAGCTTTTTGTGAAAATTTATTTGGATATTTCGAAACGAATCTTATATTTTTTTAAGAGGTCAATATAACGACCATAGGTATCGCCTCCCCCAATGTTCAACAGGTTTTCTCGTCCTCTTCATCCGAGCCCTCCCCTCAAACTGCCATCACGAATTCGGCGGGGCTAGTTGTAGTTAATCCCTACAATTTCTATAATACGGTTACAACTTCTTCCACGATTATCGATACGTCGAGCGGTGATAATGATGCCTCGTACACATCGACTTCCTGGTTTTATACCACAATTGAAAGATCTTCAACAACTAATATTTTCACGACAACTTTTCCCGATTCTGGTTTATTTTAAAATTTATTTTTTAAATTTCTCACCTTTTATCAAATATACAAGGCCGAACTAGATATTATTATTTCTTACAGGGAACTGGGAGGTGTCTAAAAAAATTGTCTATTTAATCAGAATTTTTTTATTTCTCTAAATCGGAAATTGCATATATCACTTTTCATTTACTGCTAGGGTAATAAGCAGATTTATAATATGAATTAGAGACCTGCAGAAGTATCATCTGCATAGCCCTGCCCCGATTTTTTTAAATATTTTTATTTTTACAGCTAATAATGGGAATTTAAAATATTTGGTTTTATAATATACGGTCCAACCTGGATATTTTTAAAAAATTGTAGGCCTATCCCGGGTATATTTAAAAAATTAAAATACGACCTGGCCCATGTACCCTGGTTTAGGGCCGGGCCTGCAGGTCTCTGATATTAATTAAGGTAATAAATAAAAAAATGCAATATATCATGGCAAATAAATAATTGGTAAATTACTTAATTAGGTTATATAATATTAGTGTTAATTTATGTAATATTGTGTACTTTTATTAAAATTCTCTTAAGCATATGAAATTGATTTTAAAAAAAGCCAAATCTGCTATATTTTTAATAATTTCTTATAAGTTTAAGACATTTTTTTTTCTTCCTTAATTACAAATACAAAGTTATATGGTGTTACTAAATATTATTTAATTCTATTTTAAATATAATCTCAAGAACCCTCGAATAGGTATGATGGTGAGAATAACAATGCTTTAACCACCTCCGCAAATAATTTTTTTACAAGTCCTAATCTTCCTCCCTTTGGTTCTTCTCATTTTGCCAAAAACGAAATCACACCCTTTTTGATCAGAGAGTAAAAAAAGAAGAAAATATAAATAAATTATATGGGAAACTGAATTTTTTTAAAAAATTAATTATCAAAAATTATAATTGGATACTACAATTTTTACCTTCCAGCATCAAAAAAGATGTCCGTTTTTATAATCGTTCCGGAATGTTTCTGAATTTTATTTCTTTTTTATTAACGACGATTTTTTTATATTCATTCATCTGTATTTAAATTAAATTAATTGTAATTATTATAATTTCATCTTTCTTACTAATTATTGTTTCGATTATCATATAAATATTATATACGAAACAATTTTATCTAAAGTTTTCTTTCTGCTAAAGAAAGTTAAATTTGACCCTGCAAGGTCCGATCTAGCCGCATTCTGGTCGACGCGGACATACATTTTGGACACGGTCGGATTCTTACTTTCATTTTAAATTCTTTTACAGACCGTAATTGCATCTACAAAATGATTATGTAAATTTATATTATTTTTAACGTTATAAGCCCTGACTCTAGCACCAACAACTTAAACGTGTTTTCATCTACCCATCATCCTAGCATCACTGTAAGACTTTTGAATTCTTTTTTTTCTCCAAATAATAAAATAAATTGTGTACACCAAATACTGATTAATTTGTATATTAAGAGCGTTCCAGTGTTTGGGAAATTGAGCTTGGGCATCATTATAAAAAAATAATAACTCTAAAAATGTAGAATAATATAGACCTATGCACCGTTGCCGTCAGGCGTGGCAGTTATATGACGCTGATTTAAAAAGTATCTACGTCGGCGAAGAAATTGGTGGTACAGCATAAGTAACTTTTATTTTTGAAATTTGTATTTATAAATTATATAATTTTAATATTTAGTCATAAATTTTACACTAATAATTATAAAATACATTCATATTTATTATTACTTTATAAATATTAAATTCAAAAATTTATATATAAACTATTGTTAACTGAATTAGAGAAGTTAATGTTATCTAATTTCAGATTTGGGAATAATATTGGCAGAAGACCCCACTTAAGATATGCTAGATTTGGCTGGATGATAAAAATTTAATGTTGAAGAATGTTTTGTGATGCATATGATGAAATAATAAAAAAAACTTTATAACCTAGAAAGTGTGAATTAAACAACAGAGGTCTATTATGTTAAATAGAATGAAGAAACCTAGTGAAATTTCTAAAATCATTAAAGATTCAGTTTTTTTATCGTCAATATATGATTTTCTTAAATTTAGCTTAACTATATCATAGTTAAAATATTCAGTTATTTGATTGCCATTCAAGCAAAATGTACTCAATAAGTTGAACCATAGATTTACAATATCTCAGGTATTAATATCATTCTTTGCATATTTTATATTTATACGAACCATATTGTTAGACTTTCACCTTCCTTCAATTTTTATATCATGTGATCAGTCTTATAAAGATATGGAAACATATAATGGAATGTGAGAGAGGGAGGTTTATTCCGAAGCAAATTATATATAAAAATTAGCGAATAAACATTCATTTAACACTCGGATGAAAAATGATATTCTGAAAGATTTAGCATAAAAATGTTTACTTATAGTATCTTCATGATTTAGGCTTGTAAAAATTTTTAAATAAAAACTTCATATAAAAATCGTCGACGGCCGATTGCCTATAGTTTGAAAACAGAAAGTCGCCTTCTCTAATTTTTCAACGGTGCAAAGATCTAAGAATATATTATATATACATCTACTACTTTAAAAAAAATATGCGCACGCAGAAAATATGTTTTTCAATGTGCAAAATATCAAAATTATTGGAAAATATATTTTTGCAACTCTCGATTTTAAGCTCGATATCTTTACAACATTATACGCTTGAGAACGCTCTGGTATGGGCTTATTCTTAATGGCAACTATCGGCATAATAGAGGAGGTCAGATTTGTCACGTCGTGGAATCGGCGTTTGGCCTTTTCTAATTATTTCAGTAAAATACTTAGGCCGTTTTTTAGCTCCTATTTTGTCTTTTTAGAGTTTAAAATATCTATTCTTGAATAGTGATTTCTTAAGATTTTAAAAATATGTAATAAGTGCACTTTTATTTTAAAGATATTATCACTTTATATTAACGTATATAATTCCAGACTGCTATTCGGATGCCACCTTAGAAATTTTTTTTATACTACAATTTAAAAAATAAATGATCATTGTTATAATATTGATAGAGTCAACAAGAAGAATATACCGAAGAACCTGGACCTTCATCATCCCAACATAAATTTAGCGCTCGCAATGATGGGAAAGGTTTATTAAAAATTTAAAATATCCCGATTCAGAATGTACAGCCCATGGCTTGATCGGGAGGGTATCTAACTCCATTTTTTGTAGAAACTAATTTCTACTATACCCTCTTTTAAACCCCTCACTTCAATGTAAACGAATGTATAATCTTTTTTTAAAAAATCTTTCTCATTTTAAGATGGTTCAATTTGTAATTTTTCTCGTCACATTATTTTTTTAAACTAAATTCCGATTAACAGATTTTAAGCTTAACGCTTCGATCTTGCCTTCTACTGTGTTCTCTAAAAACGATGGCGCTTATTTTTCTTTGCTTACTCCCTTCAACCAATCACCTTTGCAAAAGGTGGTGCATCAATCCATCATTCAACAATCTCCTTTGTTCAACACGACCAACGTATTCCCAGGCTCACCTTTAACACCCATACATGATTCTAGCTCGTTTGGAACTTTAGTAATTCACTTTTCTTAAGATTTTTTTTATAAAATATAAATATACTAAAATTTTATTAAGATTTTTTTTATAAAATATAAATATACTAAAATTTATTTATATTTTTTTGTCATTCATCTTATTATATTTAAAACAGAGACCTATACCCGGGGCTTGGCCTAAAATAATTATTTAAATACCCAGCCGGACCGTTTTTTAAACCGAATATTTTAACTCGCCATTACTAGCTATAAAAAATAAATGTAATATATTTTTAAAAAATCAGGTCGGACCGAAAAATTTTTTTTAAAGAAAATGCTGACCCATGCAAATCGTACCTCTGTAGGTCTCTTATTTAAAACCAATTGCCTCCCTAAAACACGAAATCTGCATATTGATCATTTCTTTTAATATTCAGTCTGCTAATTTTATAAATTTAAAGAACCCCTTAAGTATTTTTTTTTATAAAAATGGGCGACTAAAATTTTATCGGGTCTATCTAATTTTTCTCGAAAATTACCAATATCGGTGCAAATTTTATTCTTATTAGGGAACCATCCTAGTAATTATGTCATTTAAATTATTTCTTTTATAAATCTAATTTCATATCTTACAGCAACATGCAAAATTGGATTCTAGAACAAGCTTTTTCAACGAGCCGACTCTAAGAATTAGTTCATCTACTCACTCCTTCGAGTCTCCCCATAAAGTTCGAACCCCCAAAAACATCTTTCCTATTAACGATGCTACAGGATTTATCAGGTAATAAAAAATCTCGCAAAATATAAATTTCGCAATGCAATTTTATCTTTAATATTTTTTATTTATTTAATCATTATTAAAGCCCCATGCTAAACGTTGGGAGCGCGATAAAGACGCCAGATGTTGAAGAAGCTAATCAAGGTTTGAAAATTATATATAAGACAAAAATCGGAAGATTGATCTCGACCACGGTTTTTAAAACCGGCCCTGTTTAGATTAAGAAAATAGAATTCAGATTGTTGGCCTACACAAATTTTCTTTTTTTTATCTCATCAAAATTTAGCAGCTATTCTCGTTTAAAATTTAAGATAAAATCAGTTTAGTCTATTATGAATTATTTCGTCATTATTATTTTCGGCCTTAAAGTGACCCATTATCGTCTATTATATCTTTTCTTGAGCTTTTGTTTGCAAACGCTAACCTTATTTCTTGAATTCTATGCTTAAGAGAGTGAATTCAGTATTTATAAGCAAATTTTTATATACCTACCAATTTATCAATTATTTTAACGATTCCATATTTATTGATAAGTGTATTCCTCATTTATTTAACCTTTTATATTTTATCTTTATTCTTAATGTTTATATAGCTCTCCCCCTTCTTTACTCTGGCTTCACTGAGCTATTTAATCACGTTAAAGTACCCTGACCTGAAAGAAAAATTCCTATAAAATCTTTTTATACGATATATGGAATAAAGACCATTGTCTTTATAAATAGAAATAATTAATATTGAGGGTTTCTCTATTTAGCTAAATAATATATCCAGCATACTTTTACTATTTTAAATATAGTTGAACCTGTGGACTCAATCGCAGAATCGAATAACATAATTTATGTTAACTAAAAGATATTAGAAACTTAATTTTTAAATATATAATATTATCATTTTTTACAGATACTGAAATAGTATCTCGTCCGTACTCTTACCCTCTCTTCCAGATTGTATCGGAATCAATTTTGAGTTCAAATACAAATACTCCCGACCCACCTTTCCCTCTTATAGATTATCAGCAAACTCAGATTGTTAATGCTAGTATTTCAGAAATAGAAGATAATAACGATATTACTACGGTAACTACTGCCATAGGTAAAGTGGAACCATCTCTCCAACAATCCATATTTACCGACCATATTCAAAATCCCATTAGCGCGGGTATAGACTCGGTTGAAAGACAACCCAACAGCAAAAATATAGTCAGACTTAGACCCAGTGGAAGGAATATTACTAACACCCCATTATCGGATAGTTTATCACTATCTTCTCAAAGCCAGTCCAATAGAAGAATGTTATCACCTATAGTGATTGGTAATCATAATACCCAGAGAAATTCTAATATCAGAAGTGGGCATGCTATTAATAGGAGGGGTAACATTACGATTAATAGGCGGGTAAGGTTTCAAATGAGAAGGGGCGGAGCGCCAAAATAATTTAGCCACGAAAAAAAATACTTATTCAAATGAAGGATATAAACGTTAGTATAAATTTTTTTGGCCTTAATGTGATTAAAATAAAAATAATGATTATTATATATATTTTATTCGTTGTTTATTTAAAACATATTTCGATTTTTACGTTCATTTTATGTAGATATATATTCATTCATATAAACAGAAATTTTAGATATCATTTAAATAAATAAGGGCTCAATAGATATCTATTTTATGCAGGGTTCTATATTTGACCGTCAAAAACGATTCGGTCAATTGACTGGTCAAATTTAAAAAAATTTAAGACATGAACTTTATTTTATATAATAGTAAAATGAATCTTTATATTTTTAAAATTTGTTGTAATTCAATAACTAATGTTTTGCTCTCCGTGACAGAGTCTTGTTCTGATTCATATTATTTTCTTTTATATTTTAATCTATCTTCTTGTTGTCGAGATCTTCAGTCGATTTCTATTTTAGTAAGACCCATATCGACCAATTTCTTTCTGAAGAAGTAGAACTAGGAATTGTTAGTAAGATGCCACTTCTCTTAATGTGCATGGTGGTGGCACTGATTGTTTCTTATGGAAGTTACTGTTTCACATAATTTATTTAGATAGAAATATTTTGACCATCACCACCTTGTAAAATCCATAATTTGTATTCACACTTCCTTAAATTCAGTTAGATGCTCCCCTTAATATTGTGGACCCAACAAATAAGCAACATTGTGATCACATGTATTTATATCGTTTTTTCTTTTTCAAACATATTTTTTTTGTCCTCAAATATTTTAGAGTTGACCAGGTCAAATAATCAACCGGTCAATTGACCGATTTGTTAACTCTGATTTTAAGTAAGATGTGTGCAAATAAATTTAATTAATTTTTCAACTAAACATAATAATCAGAGACCTGCACATGGAGCCCTTGGGACGTATTTTTTTTTAATATACCCGGGTCGGACCTAAAAAAAAGATTTTTTTTAATATGGGGGACAGCCCTAAAAATAAATACCCAAGCTGGGCCCGAATAACATCACATTCATTGACTTTTCATATTTTCTATTTCCATTCCTTATTAAATATTATTCAAATTAATTACTTAACTAATCATTATTTTAACAGATGTTCAATCAAATTAAATCCAACATATATACCTTCAATATTAAAATATATTACACTTTTTAAGGGAAAAATTTATTTTAGAAAACTATTATTTTATCTCTCGTTTCTTTATCCCAAATTCAGCCTATTGCGTATGTTAGAGAGAACGCAAAATGATTGATAATGGAAATCTACCGGTCGAATTGAAAGTGTGGGGATTTTAAACTCACTCCCTTTAATACAAATGAGAAGATAAGATAATTTGGAAAGTTATAAATATACATATTCGCTGAAAAATGATCCGTAAAATGCCGAATTGTACCCCTATGATTAATATCTTATTTATAATATTTATACGAAATTTTAGCCTTATTTTAAAATATATTATTTCCTTGAAGCATTAACTGCTTTATTGTAATTTCCTCCCTTTTCTCCTTAAGCATAAAAAATCAAAATATATTACATTATATAATAAAAATGGTATGGTATATGATTTTGTAATTGTTTATTATTGTATAAATTAGATTAGATGATCCTACAAACAAAAATAAAACATGAATACTGTTTAAATTCAATATACATCTATTTTTGCGTTGTTATTTGAGTATACAAAAAGTTGTGCATATTCCCTAATTAAATGATGATCATTTTTGAATCAGTCCCATTTTAATACCGAAAAAATGCAAAATCAAAGGACGAAATAGGTAAGAATATTTGCCTAAAATTTTTGATAAGAAAATTTAAAAGAAAAAAAACTTTTAAGATTTGAGTCATTTATTGGTTATGAAGGTAAAGCATTTGAGTTAGATTCCCCATTTGTTTTAGATATTCTTTTGATTAGCATATATGTATATTATGATTAATTATAGTAGAACATATAAAGTCTGGCAAGCGCCGAAAGTCTCCATATGATGGCCAATCACTCCATAAATTTATAGTTAAAAAAATTATAGAAACTTTAATAAATTTGCACCCCCCCCCCCTCCTTCCTTGTAAAAAAGTAACGTCACGCCTGTGTAAAAGTAAATAAAGATTTTGAAAAATTTTGATGTGTCATTTTATTTGAAAAAAATATGATTTTGGTTTTATTTTAGTCCCCAATTTATGCTTTTTTTCTCCATTTTAAACTTCATCAAAAGGAATAAATTTACACATTAAAAAAGTCCCAATTTATTAACAAACATAGGAATTAAAAATCACATATCAATCCTAATTCATAATGATTGATATTCGACACGCATTAATTATTTGATTGTCATTTGATATTAAATATAATTAAATTGCGCTCCTTTTTTAAAAATTTGGAACGGGAGAGCTCTCTGCTTAAAAAAAATCAAATAAATTAATGTTATTCAGTTATTAACGCTCTTTTTTTAAAGGGAGCTCAATTACAAACAATGCTTAATTGTAAAATTAGTATCTTTTTAAAATGTAAATTTCAGCAATAACAAAATATATATAGAATATTTAAAAAGAAAAAATAATTTTCCAGTTTATGCCTGTTTCTAAATTTAGATTAACCTAGGTTAAAAGAGGAAAACATGCTTTCTACGCAGTTATAAAGATAAGTTTTATCACCAAAGGTTGTTTTCATATCTCCGTTACTCTAGATCATAGTTATAACTCGGGAAGGGGGCAATGGAATGCCATTTTCATACACTTGAAGTATTGTAATAAAAATAGATATTACATAAATCTCTTAACGTACATAAATTATAATTTCTATTGCCTAATTATGTTTAATACCTAATTTAGTCATTTACCCATTATTTATATTTCGCCGATATAGATTAAAATATGCAATTTCTAAGTAAAATTCGATCGAAATTATGCATTTTCTGATCAAAATATGCAAAAAATTCCTCGAGAAATTTTTTTAGTTATCAGTTCCCTCAAGATTTAGACATTATTTAATATGGAAAGCCAAACATTATTTTAAAAAACATTTCTGATTTGTCTTGAAACTATGAGCAATATTTATAGCTGAATATAACTCGTTAAATATTTTTAAATCATTTTTTGTATGAAATAATTTAGATTTTTCTTAACATTACAAATAATTTAAATTTTATTACCTTTTTATTATTATTGGAAAATTCAAATTACATATAAAAGATTCATTTAGCGAACTTGTGGTAAAAATAACATCAATTCATCCATCAAAAACCAGATGTAACTCATTTGGCTTATCAATTGTGAATTCTTCATCTGCTCCCCCGAATACTTTCTTATCAGCATCACACAAAAAAATTTCGATATATGTTCTAAAAATACAAACAATCCACTAGATTATCGTCTAAATTATTTCTAAAATCAAAAACATTTCCAACCATATCCATAATACTTAGAGGAGCCATATTTAGATTTGGGAAAATTCTATCATACCACAGTAGTATTTTAGGAAATAACCTAAACTTGTTAGATAATTTTCACATTTTACTAACTACCAAGGTAGACAAACTATCCACATAGATTAAAGGAAAAATTAATCCCCTCCAAAATCATATAGCACAGTCTCTCCTAAAGCGAAACTTATTCCAAAATTGTACCTAGCTTTTATAAAACTTATGATTTTTATACAATTATAATATGAGCTTAATAAAGTTAGGGTGAGTAAAAAGGTTAATTTATATAAATAAAATACCAGTTTGTGAGTTAAATTTAGGTAAGTTTGTACATTTTTCTTAGCACGTTCACACTATAACCACAAACATCAAATAATAATTGAAATAACAGCCATGTATATTAATTATCGCATTATTTTAATATTTATCCTTTTTTTTCCATAAAAATTTTTTAAGAGGGAAATGAATAATAAAACGCAAAGACACTTTGATCATTATTATATCACAAATTACATGAAGCGAGTCAGAAAAGAAAACAAATATAACTTTCTCGAGTGGTAATAGAATTTAAACGGTCAGTTATTATTTTTCAAACTTTTTGATTTTTGTAGAATTAATCAAATTTTCTGAAAAAGTAATGATTTTGTCTTTCCCTCTAACTTCATTATCCATCAAGGGTAATTTCGTAATGTGAAAATCTTCGTATAAATCATCGATCTAAAAATACGAACGTTATAATATAGATAAACTATGTAAGTTATATATTATTTTAAAAAACACAAGTTATAGCTCAAGCTAGGGTCCAACGTTGATAAATCTAACTGATAAACATTTTCTAGGACTCGTTCTTCGGACTTTGATTATAAAATTTATTTCGGACCGGATTTGGATCTTGACAAGAATTAAATCATTTAGTTTTCCTATAAAATTTTTAATATTTGGATAATATTTTTTAAATGTTGGTTCGATGCAGAGCTATACCTCATACCCATTTTGATAAAATGGCGCCTAATATTAAGTAATTTATTTGAAAGGTGTGAGACTGTATTCATGCTTCCAATAACTAATATGAATAAATATAAACTTGTTCTAAATATTTCGATTGCAATTTATATCTAGAGGCGCATAAGCTGCAAGGTTTATTTTCATCTAAAAAAAGGAGTTGGTTGACTATAATATTATGAGTATCGATGGCGCATTTAGCTAATTCTTGTATTAATCTCTCGGTTTCGTATATTGATAAAAATTCGGAGATACACACGCAAACGAAAGTGGTTTGAGCCTTTAATAATATAATATTCCAACAAGAAAAAAGAGCTTAGTTTGAAATAGGGACAAATCTAGGAAATCAAAATTCAAAATGGAACCTATTTTTTTTTTAATTTTGAGGAAACCAGCCTAGTTGTTAAAAGATACTTATCAAATAGATCTAGATACAGACGCATTCTAAAATGGATCTAGAAACATATATATTGCTTAAAAAGTATCTAAATACAGGCACAACTTTTTATTATAATTATGTAAAATGTGCATAAGGCTTAATTTAAGTCTATTGTTAAAATATTAAAATCATTAAATATATTAAAATCCTAACATTCATTTATTAAATAATTATTCAAAATTTGATAAATGTCAAGACTTTTGTCAATATTTAAATCTAATATTAAATTATTTAATTTTTTTAAGAGATTGTCTAGAAATATTAATATATTCAACTGGATGAATATTTTTAATATAAAAAAAGTAAAATAAAATTATATCAAAAAGTATCTAACGTCAATAATAGTATCAAGATATAGATACAGATAATTATATAAATGTGTATACAGATACATATTTTTGTACTTTGATACTTGTATCCAGATCAATTAACAACTCAGTACATTATAATAGATGATTTTTAACATGTTAAATTTTTTACTGGATTTTTAAATTGCTGATTGACAAATTTTATAGTTTCTAAAGTGGATTCTAATTTGGAGGACATAGCATCAACATTCAGATCTCTCTCTCCAACTAAACTTGCTATCTATGTTAAAATAGTATTTATAAAATATATATTATTTAACAAACTTGAGTGATAAATGAGCCAAAGCTTGCTTTTAATTGAAGCAATTTTCCTAGCCCTTTCTCAATAACAGATGGAAAAAATAACAATCGCAATGTGTGACCTGTTGGTGCAGTATCAAATACTACAACTGAAAAATTCATTCCCTTAACAAGCCTATTAAATTAAAAAATTATTAAAATATTTTAGGTAATGAACTTCATAACTTCTGCATAACTCATAGCTTCATCAATTCCTGGAAAAGCTCCTACAAGTTCTTTAATTACAGATTTACCCATTGCCCAACTGTCTATAAAAAAAAATAAATGATATTATTATTTATCATACAACCATTTTCACTAAAATAATCATCAGGAAGTTCAGTAATTCCTAAATTGGGATCAATTTCCTAAATAATAATTATATTTAATATGATAACATTATAAATACCATAGCAAATAAATTTTCAAACCCACTAACCTTTCCAGGGACTTTTGAAAATTTTTGATCAAATGCATCAGATATATTGTGAGCAGGATCTGTAGAAATGATTAAAACACTTTCACGAGTTTTGGCTAATTGAACTGCTAGACTACAACTATAAATTGGTTATATTTACACTGACTTATAGGAAATATTACCTGCAGGTAGTTTTTCCAACGCCTCCTTTGCCTCCGACAAATATCCACCTTAATGAGGTTTGCTCAATAATATTTTTACAACTGGGATCAAGTTCACTGTACATTACACCTGTAAAGAATGAATGTCTGAAGCTAATTATTAATCGACTAATTTAAAATATAGTGCTAAATCCTGGCTGGTCCAGAAATAGACTATATGTTAATAATAAAGTCCTAAATAAAACAAAGCAAAAAAGAATCTATTATTTTCCTTACAGATAGGTTCTTTTTCTAAAAAATATTAGATTTATTAACTTAAACATAGTCTGCATTTATTATTTTTAGAACTAATAAATTTTAATATATAAATATTTTTTTCAGAAACCCAACTGAAAGATAGGCCTAGTCATGAAGAATCCAAAGAAAAATCCCCCTCTCCCCTTTGTTTTAAAAATTTAGATTATAGATATTTTTTAAAGAAATATAAAAAAATTTTGTGAATTGCATAATATTCTATTTCAAATTTATTTTATTTTATTTTAAAATTTTAGCAAAAAATTAAAATCTTGCCCCATCTAACCAGACACTCAACATCATTGACCTGAAGGAATAGCTTAAAACCTCGAAATACACAGAAATTACTAATGCCCATTGTTTCATTCCAATTATTTCAACCACACTTGCCACCTTCGGCAAACTTGCTTTAGCTTTTTTCAAAAATTTAGGATCTCAAATCAGCAAACATTCGGAAGATCCAGTGGGGTTTTTATTCAACAAAGGCCAATCCTTAAAGCCAATTATATCATCAATGGTAGTCTACTAGCCAAAGAGCTATCCTAAATCCTTTTTTTTTCCTCTCATTATACCATCCCCGTTCTTCATTGGTATTTTTAAATTTATTCATATTCCTTTTGTTGCATTTTAATATAGACTTTAGTTATAAGTTCATATATTCAATATTTTTTATTATATACATTTGATTTTTAATTTAAATATTTGTGATTTGATTTTGGAATTTTCATACATATTTTTTTAATCTAGTTTTTTATATACATTACAATATGTATCATAAAATTTTATTTTTAATTATAAAATGTATGTTATGTAAAATAAACTACCGTTTTGTTCCTTTAATTTAAATATCTTGTTTATAAATATTTTTCCTCAAAATCTTAAAGTACATTTTCATGCATTTTTAAAAATTCTTAGACGCTGATGAATTTAGGAAATTTTATTAAGTTCAAAAGCCTAATGGAATATAATTCACCACAATAATAGTTTCAGATATTATAAAAACTGATTTATCATCACAATCATTTTTTATATTATATGTACTGATAAATTATTGATTCACTTAACAATTTTACGAAATTTAAAAAAATAATATGGATAGCTGAAGTTATGAGAATCATGAAATTATTATATTACAGTTTAGAAAACTAAAAGTTAATATCGGTTAAACGTTTCAATTGATTATTGACAGGAAAACAATATTTATTTTTTAACAATATTATATTAGTTCTTAAATATTTTGTATATTCTAATATTTGATTATTTATGTTCGATATAGTCATTAAAATATAATTTTTTCTAATAAATTTTATATCAAGGTTAGAGGATTAGTTCTAATAAATTTTTAATGTTTTAAAATTAAATATTTCAATATTTTAAAAATTACCACCCAACCCCCACCCTTCCACAAAGCTTGTAAATAACGGAACCTAAAAATGTTCAATTATCCATCTTTAATATTCTTTCAATTTTATTTCAAGATACTTTAATATAAATATACATAAATAAATACAACTTAGAAATAATAGTAATGATATATCCTAACAAACTATATTTGTGTTAGGTACCTAACCATAGCCCGATATTATATTATTACTGTAATATATATATTCATTATAAAACATTTAATTAACGAATATACTATTTCATAATATATAAATAATATATTACAATACATTCATACATATATTTCCATTATATCAATGTCATCTAAATATGTAATATCATGCAATTTAAATGAAATTTCTATTTATAGCAGATAACAATGTTTTTGCCTGGAAATGTGCTAAATCATGTTTTATCAATATTGATAAACTGAATTTTTTGATGAACAAAGATATTTGATATATATTTTCATTAGTGATGTAAAAGGTATGATCAGGTCGTTTGAACCGAATTTTAAAAACGACAAAATCATATCCAAAAAAAACAAGGCTGAAGATATTGTTCCTAGACTTCAAATTATTTTTTAGTGATATATTTTATATATTCTTAGGGGAGAGATGGTAGAGGGGTGTATAAGGGGGATTTTTATTAGCTTATTTATGATATTTACGAAAAAAGAAAAATTATCTAAGTAAGGGGGCATTTCCAAGTTACCATAACACTTATTGGCTATACCAATGTCTTAAAGTTTAGGCAATCATTTTTGGCCACAAAATAGTTAGCCATTTTTAAAAATCAGCTATAACCTTTCAATACTCTGGAGGGGTATATAAAACCCCATGCATGCTAGAAATTGATAAGTATTGACTTATTGATTTGTTACATTTTTGTATTTTTTTGAAAATATTTATTTTCATTATTGCGATTTCGATATTTTTATAATAACAAAAAAAGACACTACAAAAATGGTGCAGTCGATAAAAAGTTTAACGGATTCAAATTTGTGTTACAAAGGTTGATACGACTTATTTAAATTATTTAAAAACACACAACCAAGGTTAACATCATCACAAAAAAAATCCCTGTTATTAACAACAATAGGATGTGTTATATAATATTAGTAAATTTATGCGCACCCAGAAAATAAAGAGGCATTAGAAATACGTAACATTTTACTTAAATTTTTTCATCCTATATCAATAATCAAAAAAACATGGAAAAATTAATAAACTATATACAAAATCTTTGAAAATTAGCCACGACTTGTGAATGTGAATTTGGGGAATATTTAAATACTACATTAAGAGATAAATTTATATTCGGAATAAAAAATCCTAAAATTTTGCAAATATTATTATCTGAAGATGATATAGACATAAATAAAGCTATTCAAATAGCTACTGCAGTAGAAACAGCTATAAAAAATACAAAAATACAAAATGATGAAACTAAAATCGATTAGTTAGAAGAGGAACATGATAATAATATAAATATTCAAAAAGTTAATAATGATAAACAATCTAAACAATCCATACCGTATAAAATTATAATACGATCTACAAAAAACCAAATCCCACAAGAATGCCACTTGTTATAAATGCAACAAAATTGGGCACATTGCTCGAGTCTGTAGAAAAGAAATAGTGAATTTTATTAATAATAAAACAAGCAAATATAATCCAGAATTTTGGGTGGATGATAGTGTTGTTAAAACGCCGCGAGTCGCGACCCCGACCCAAAGCTCGGGTCGTTTTATTCGACTCCGACTCAATGTTTGGGTCGTTTTTTCGACTTCGACCCGAGTTCAAGCCGAAAAAAACGACTTCAACCCAAAATATGGGTCGTTTTTTTCGACTCCGACCCAAGTCCAAGCCGAAAAAAACGACCTCGACCCAAAATATGGGTCGTTTTTTACGACTCCGACTCAAAATTTGGGTTGTATTTTTCGACTCAAACTTGAAATTTGGGTCGTATTTTTCGACTCAAACTTGAAGTTTGGGTCGTATTTTTCGACTCAAACTTGAAGTTTAGATCGTATTTTTTGACTCCAACTCAAAGTTTGGGTCGTTTTTCTGACTCAGACTCAAACATCGGGTCGTTTCATTCAATCCGACCCAAAATATGGATCTTTTTTTTAAAAGACGACTTAAAGTTAGGGTTGCTTTTTTTCACCCCTAACCCAATATCTAGATCATTTTTTTCGACCAAAAGTCAAATAACATTTAGTATATATTAATATTATAAGCGGGAAAGTTACTTAAAGCTTCTTTAAATTATAATGCTCTGATTAACTATTCATCATAGTTATATTTTAAAATTTTTAAGTGAAGATGTACCATAGAAAAGTGCCATTTGTCATGTTGGTTATTTTTGAACTTTTTTAAATGAAATAGATAAAAATATATATTGTAGACATGTTAAATCAAAATTTCAGTGATGATGTACCATAGATAAGTGGTAATTGTCATAATCGCTATTTTTGAACTTTTTTGAGTTTTTTTAAAGCAAATTGCTAAAAATATATATTCTAAACATGTTAAATTAAAAATTCAGTGAGGATGTATCATAGATAGGTGACAATTGTCATAATCGGTATTTTTGAACTTTTTCAAATTTTTTTAAAGGAAATAGCTAAAAATATATATTCTAAACATGTTAAATTAAAAATTCAGTGAGGATGTATCATAGATAGGTGACAATTGTCATAATCGCTATTTTTGAACTTTTTCAAATTTTTTTAAAGGAAATATCTAAAAATATATATTCTAAACATGTTGAATTAAAAATTCAGTGAGCCAAATTTTGAGTCGGAGTCGTAAAAAACGACCCATATTTTGGAGGTCGTTTTTTTCGGCTTGGACTTGGGTCGGAGTCGAAAAAAACGACCCATATTTTGGGTCGAAGTCGTTTTTTTCGGCTTGAACTCGGGTCGAAGTCGTAAAAAACGACCAATACTTTGAGTTGGAGTCGAAAAAAACGATCCAAAATTTGGGTGAGCTCTGTTCGAGCCGACTCGGCTAAGCCGATTAACAACACTAGTGGATGTTAAAATAAACAATAGCGATATCAGAATGGAATTAGATACCGAAGCTGGGGTAAGCATAATTAAAGAAATTGATTAGAAAAATAAACTTAATTGTCCTGGATTAACAAGCACTAAAACTTAATAGCTATACAGGAACCAATCAAGCCGATCATCCGCATGAACCGACTCACTTAGTCTGTGCATGTAGTCTGCTCGCTTAGTCGGCTCGTGTAGTCGGCTCGTGTAGCCGGCTTGTGTAGCCGGCTGGTATAGTCGGCTCGTATAGTCGGCTCGTATAGTCGGCTCGTGTAGTTGGCTCGTAGTCGGCTCATGTAGTCGGTTCGCTAGGTCTGCTCAATTTTTTTGTTTTTTTATAAAATCTGTTAAATTGGTAAATTTAGGTTATTGATTAATGTGAACAAAATTATAATAAGAATATTCATGTCATGTCGTAAC